AAACAACCAGGCCATAGAGCCCCTTATTCCTCGTGAAATCCCAAGCCGCCCCTGGCAAATAATTGCTGCTGACATTTTCACAGTCAACAACAAAGACTTCCTCTGTACTGTGGATTGCTACTCCAACTACTTTGAGATAGATCGTCTATTTTACAAAACTGCTGGGGAAATTAAGAAGAAGCTCAAGCGGCACTTCTCTACTCATGGCATACCAGATAAGCTCATGAGGGACAACGTACCTTTCTCCTCTAAAGAATTTCAGGATTTTGCCAAGGAATATGAATTAACCACCGAGCTAAGCTCGCCGGAGTACGCACAAAGTAATGGCAAAGCAGAAAATGCTGTCAAAACTGCAAAGATGCTAATATAAAAAGCGACTGAATCTGGCAATGACTTCTATCTCGTGCTACTAGAATGGCAAAACACGCCGTCTGAGGAGATGAAAAGCTCTCCTTCCCAACGTATTTTTAGCAGACGAGCTAAAACACTGCTTCCCATATCGAAGAAGCTCCTTAAACCAAAGGTTGTCACTGGTGTCCAAATAAAACTTCGAAAGAGGAAAGAGATACAATCAAAGTATTAAAACAGAGGCACAAGGGAGCTAAGTGCATTAAAGAAAGATGATGTAGTCAGGATAAAGCCAGGAAATTCTGACAGAACAGGCCGCTGGACCAAAGGATGTGTCATAGAGCTAGTTGGTGTAAGATCTTATAATGTAAAAACCGAAGATGGAAGAATCTTCAGACGAAATCGAAAGTTTCTACGTCAAACCAAAGAGCCATTCTTTGCAGATGAAGAAAATTCAATCATTTTCCCCAGAAAGGAACAAGAAGCAGTGGCTCGACCTTATGAAGATCACCAATCTGAAATGGAGCAATTCGATCCGCAAGAGTCACCTCTCTCACGACCTGATGCTACTGAAGAAAAGACAGCAGCCGCCAGACCTGCTGAGACCAGATTTGATCACAGGCAATTGAACTTTTACCAGCCAGTAACGACAGGGAGTGGCAGGAAAGTAATTCAGCCTGACTACCTCGCTGGCCATAACTTCTGATTAGCAAACTTTAAAAACAATTATTTTTATTATGTTACTGTTCTGTTTATTCTTTTGTTGGAGGAAAGGTGTGACGTTATTAGCCTCGTATTTATGTTATGTTGGGCATGCGCCCTGTTCGTTATGTTATGTTATATTATGTTATGCGTGAGAATATGAAATGTAGTATTGAAGTTCGAGTTCGGGTGTTCTTTCGTTCTTATATACCGGATAATCTTACAATAGGTTCATAAATGAATGCCATAAATAAATGAACTTAAGAAACTCCCAATTAAAAACAGAGGAGTCACATTACAAAATATATGGATTTAACGCGTATCATAAATATATAGCCAAATATCGAACTCAGTTCCAATCGATAAAAACTCAGTTGCCCTACTTTACAAATACTCAAGAAAATAATCTCAGAATTTTCATCATTCAATTGTACTTGTAATCTTGGCAAGGAATACCATTCCAACATCGGTTATATTTGATATACATTATATTTAGCGTTGGTAATTTAAATCAGTTGGTTTTAATCAGCCTGAATATGCCTTTAGCTGTTTGGCAACTTTATCAATATACGAGTAAAATTGTAATTGTTCATCTTTCAAAAAACTATCCTGTTTTCAAGAAAATTATCCCGTTGTCCGACCTTTTGTATCAGATGCCTCAAATTCTAAAACGTTGATGCCTCCTCCCTGTTGTAAATACAGACAGGAATAAGTGCACAACAAACGCAGAGCTATATTTTCTTTAGTTCTCTGGTTAGATAGAAAAAAGATTTGATAAATCGAAATACGTTTATATCTGCGTGGTTGATGGAAGCTTCCCAAATCTCATTTCTTATCGTCCGATGTTTTGTATCAGATTCCTTAAAATTTAAAACGTTAACCAAATTTAAATGTTTCTTGGACAGGAAGAAATGCACAACAACTGCAGAGCTTTATTTTCTTTGGTTCTCTGGTTAGAAAGAAAAAAGATTTAATAAATCGAAATACGTTAATATCTCCGTGGTTGGTGGAAGATTCCCAAATCTCATTTCTTATCGTCCGACCTTTTGTATCAGATTCCTTAAAATGTGAAACGTTAACAAAATTTCAATGTTTCTTGGGCAGGAAGAAGTGCACAACAACTGCAGAGCTTTGTTTTTAGAAAGAAGATGTGGTCAATTCTGAATAAACATTTTACCTGTAATGTAACATTACTCTTTTACGTTCCTCTCGTGGTAAAATTCAAAAGAAAGCGGTTATATGCAGGATGAACACAGATTGGCATAAAAGTCGCCATTTTTGAAGATCTCTCAGACTGGATTGCTGCAGAGATAAAGGTATGATTGCATTTTCCTTTTCAGATTTTAGCTGTTCAACTTGTTTCATATTAATCCTAAAACTTTATTAACGATAATATTTTCAACAAAGATTTTTATCTTGCTTTGTTTTATGCTTGATGTTTAATTTTCACATGGCGTTTTATCCATATATATAAATTCTTTTGCAAACACGAAGTCTCTGGTCGTTAAAAGGTTGTTGTGCTGACAAAGCATTTGGCTATCTTGTTTATTTTCTTTTTTTCATTTCTTTCGGTTATAATTATTTCCTTTTGGGCGTTATTAATTTTCGTAGAATGAATTTAATTCACAAAATTTCATGTTTATAGTAACTTTATCCATTCTAAAATGACCATTGGATTGACATAATGTAAAATGTAGGCTTCTAGAAAACATGTCTTAGAAATAATTTCATAAACCTTTGAAAAACTTTAATGATACGCTGTTTTTGTTTTCCAAAAGAGTTTTTAAATCAACTGTAAAAATAATATAACATGAAACAACGCAAAATGTAATTTTCCAGAATGCATTTCCTTTATGTTTTTATCCATATTCAACTGAATTATGTTTGCATCCATAGAGTTAAAGATGAAGTGTCTCGTTCTTTTGCTACTGCTTGGTGCAGTCTTTTTAGCGTCTACGAACGGTAAGGGTCTCTTTTTTTAACTTCACCTTGATTTTGCTTTCCCCCTTGACCAACCGTGATTAGTTTTGCAACAGTTTTTTTAATCTACTTTACCTCTTTAACAGTTTAACTGCTCCAGTAAGCTAATAACGGTTTCAGCAAAATGCATTAGAAGTTCAAAGTAGTCTTAGTGTAAGAAGCCAGTTCTAGGGTATCTTGGATCGGTTCGTGTTCTTTCATCGGGGATTGCTTTCACAAAAAACTTAGATAGAGCAACTCTGGTGAGCCTTCAGTAAAGATATTCCAGTACACATTCGTGTCCAGAATAATTCGCATCTACTTGCCTAAGTCGAAAGTTTTTTAGTTGATAGAAAATGTTGATTTACTGTTCTAATTGAAGAGACGCCAACTGTATACACTTTCTCCTGTGGTATCAACGTCCTTGTATTGTTTGTTGAGTAGCGTAATAGTTAACTTATCTTGTAAACTTTTATTGAAATATAAAAAAAACTACCATTTATTTATCATATGAAAAAAATGGTTGATTGCAAATATGATTGGCTTCAAGGGATGCCTTTATTATTCAATCATTATTTTTTCATTGTAAGTTTGAAATAAAGAGACAGTAATAAGCTTTTCTTACGTTCTTTGATGATAATACCGATTCCATCTTTAAGCTCGGAGATACGAAGAAGCCAATGACGAGAATGCAGACCTTGAACAAAATGAGAACAAGGAGATGGATGAGTTAGAAAGCACTGCTCAGACAGAGAAAGGTTTTTGAGACTTTTCAACCCTACTTTATAATAAAACCTTCTAAAAAAGCATTTATAAGACATCTTGATGACTATTGCATCAAACAAAAGTCTTTTGTAACAAGTTTTAATAAATGTTCAGCTTTTAAAGTTACCTTCGAAGTTCGTTTTGGATTATTGTTCACTTCCTGAAAAGTTCTTCAATTATCTCCTTTACATTTGAATATAGATACACGAGGTAAATTTATGGTCTTTGTTGACTATTGGAATGCACAGCATAAAAGGTTATACCTTATAAAGATAAATTGATTAATCACTCTTAATCTCTCTGCAGATCCATTTTGGACCGCTTTACGTAATCTCAGACAAGCCTCTGGAGATCCATTTCCTCAGCCAAATGTGCATCGTCGTTCCTATGTCAGCCGTCGTCGTAGCTATGTCCGCCGCCGCCGTTCCTATGTCAGCCGTCGTCGTTCCAATATCCGCCGCAGCAGTTTCTATATCCGCCGTCGTCGTTTCAATATCCGTCGTCGTCGTTCCAATATCCGCCGCCGCCGTTCCAATATCCGCCGCCGTTCCAATATCCGCCGCCGCCGTTCCTATGTCCGCCGCCGCCATTTCTATCTCCGCCGTCGTCGTTCAATTGCCCGCCCACGTCATCCCTTTTATGGTTAAATGTTCGTCCGCTAACACTTTGGACACGGTCACTTGACATTTTCTCTTTTTTTGCTCTGTAACTACAGACATGCTTTTAAATGTCTTATGTTTTTTTATTTTGTATGCTTGCTTTATGAATATATATTAATCTTGGAAAGTTTCTTGTTTAAAATCGGACTAACTTTTGCATTGGTGTCGCTTTATTCCGTTTTTAAATTTTTTTCTATCCCACAAAAAAGTTTTCAAAAACGAATTACTAACTAACGAACTTCTATACAAAACTACGAAGACGAAAACCACGAGAAGCAAAATATCATGACTACCCCCTGGCTTTTTGGTTTTTAAATTGAGATTTAACTTGTAAAACACCAGTTTCGTTTGAAGATGTGCCAATTTGTGCCGAGAGGTTTTTTGACAAAGAAATGATGATCAAAAACTGAAACAAATGTGATGTTTCAAGGAAGACCTACTTCACATTAAGCTTAAAGGCATTTGACATGCATAAGTAAATTTTGACTATTAAAGTATGCAATGTTCATTCAAATTGGCGGCCATGAATTTGTCTCCTATCGATCCTATCTGTTTTGTTCTTTCAGTCGATTTGAGGGTCTTACCAAATGGCCCAGTTTGATTATAACACAACGGCTTGATTAAACTTGCGATCTATTATAGAGAATGAAACAGGTTTTATCTTTCCCGAATCAACAACAGCCAATGGCGAAAAAATTTGTCAAAGAAGGACCAGGTGCGTACAAAGAAATGGATATGGAATGGTAATATACCAATGGCATGACTTCCGTCCTTATGTTACCATTTGATGGTTATTATAAGAGACTAGATACAATTTGAGGGTCATTTTTCAACATTATAGCGTTGGCCCTCTTTGACCCTCACTAGACCCCCGTTAGGCCATAATGGGAGCACAACCCCCCCCCAGGAATGAGCCCCTCAATTTGCGTGGCCTTGAAACGCTTTGAACAACGTCTCTCCCTCAAAAAAGAGGAGTTTTGCAATCTAGGGGTAACTTTTCGGTGAATTTTCAAACTTTTCACCAAATAAAGGATGTTTCACTCACTATGTAATATGATTTTCAGATTACCCTTCTGTTACCCATCGTGGTATAAACCAACTAACTGTAGATCGGCTTTTAGGTCCTCTTAAAAAACGTCGAAATTTTCACAGTGAAAACAAAACATAAATAATTGGAAAGATCTTTCGTGCTAGGTGCAAGTTTATCTGATTCGGATATTACGAGGTATGATGGCGCTAATTTCAATCTATTATATCAAAATTGCATGGGCTCCGACAAAGGTTGAAAAGTGGGTGGGCCAAGGGAACATTTAACACCCATGACAAAAGATTTTGAAAAAAAACTCTATTGTTTCGCAAAAAAGTGGGGGGGGGCCAAGGCCCTTCGTCGGAGGCCCTGAATTGGAAGAATTTATTTTTACGACTCTGTCAATTTGATTCTGTTCAGGGTCTACATCATGATGATATAACCGAAAAATGCGTTGAGCAGAAGCTCGTTCCTACCAAATCATTGTAACCTGGTTCTAAATGGCGTTCTAACTGGTTTTGCACACCTTTTTGAGTTACTTCAAACCTTTTTTATGACATCACAATGACGTCAAATTAGACATCACCATGACGTAATATTCAATCTACTTCGCCTCCTCTTCGCACCAAGGCTCTTTCGTTTCGAGCGCATCTTTCGACAAGACTGGTTTCCGCTTTATTCGCTCTGTTCGCGCCACTGAGCCAATGCACATTGGTAGATGCGCAATTGAACATCCTCATTCGCTGCAAATGCGCGACCATTCGCTGAGTAGTTCAACTCAGTTGATTCGCTGACTTGTTAATAAGATTTCGCCAAGTCGCGCGACCAGAGCAAATCAAGTGGAAACCGTCATTAAAGGTAATGTGTCCATATAAAAGGACTGCGTATACCCAACTTGTCAAGCCACCCATCAAAATAACGGTTTGCGATTGGTTAGTATTCTTGCGATGCAAAACTGCTCACACGAAAAGCTAACTTCGCAGCAGTATAGATAAACAAAACGACCGTAATGGCTGGGGCGATGACATGAAAAATCACATTTTTTTAAAAACCCCCGCAGAGTCGCTTGCTTTAGCTGGACACATTACCTTTAATATTCGATTCTGTTCAGGTTCTACGTCACAAGGAAACAACGGAAGAAAATCGAAATAACTGCAATGAAGACTACGACCTTATTTACAGACACTTAAGCAACATAACAATGCTATTAAAATACTTTCGACGGATTGGCTAACGGAAACTGATAACAAAATGTAATCCCAGCATTCAATTCTCTCATCAAAGCGAGATTAGTGGCTACTATCAAAACGAGGTCCCATTATGTTCACTTCGGAATTGTCTAGTTTCCATACTGCTCGACCTGATACTCATAAATAAGCATGATTAATAGTCATAAATTAGCATGATTACTTATTTCAAGTTAAGGGTTAGGGTTAGGTTTAGGGTAAGGTTTAGGGTAAGGGTTAGGTTTAGGGTAAACTAATTACGTCATCAGGTCGAGCAGTTTGGAAACTAGACAGCTCCGTTCACTACATGTGTGCAACTGAGAGGTTCAGAGATGGTCATTGTTTCATGAAGGATCTTGGGTACAAATCACGCAATGATTAGAAAACGGAGTTCTGTCTATGAAAATGGAGGGTTTCATTTACGGAAAGGATGGGGAGGGGATGGGAAGAACAGCACAGTTTGGTAAAGGTAATAACGAAAAACATTTACACAGAGAAAAGTACACAGGGTAAAGTATGTCAGTATTTAGGGTATGGCTATCAAAATAATCAGTTAAGTATTGAGAAATGAGTATAGTGGTGAGTGCAGTAAAAAGACTGAGAAAAGGTGGGAAACTAAACCCTGAGAGCCCTACACTGACAAATGATCTCAATTAAAGGTCATGAAGTGGGAAGAAATGATCAATGATACGATGGCACAGCTTGAGGTAAGATAAATGGCAAGTTTTTTGAAGAATTAAAGATCTATATTTGACATAAACTTTAGATAAAATGTCCCAGTGGAATTTACCTTCAAATGTGAATATGTGGCAACAGTAAAAAATCTATGCATGATAAGGCGGGAACTGTTTTGGGAAAATTGGAGTTGTTTCTTCGATAGTCCATTTAAAGTATTGAGCTTAACAACAGGGCTGGTAGCAACAAAAACAGGTTTTTACAGTGCAAGCTTTTTCTATATACAAATCCATCTCAAACAAAGCATTAAGGTGTGCAGAAGTGGCTTCATATGAGCTTCCACTGATTATTACAAGCAAGCAAAACAATAAATGTTTCATCAGGTCTGTTCACAATAGAGTAGCCCTGTTGGATTTTACAAGAGTCGGGTAATTAGCTCACTAATGTCACAGCCGTAGGTTGCAAATGTTCTAAGAATGGGGGACCAGCACACTCATCCACGTATGCAGTTTTTGGCCTTTGACCCTTTCATAAAAGGTCAGGGGTCATCCTTTAATAAAAGGATCAAGTGACTCTCAAAGGGTCAAAGGTCAAATGCAACATGGCTTTAAAGTACGGAGTTCTGTATCTATTTTATGGTGGTAATTCCAAAGCGATTGCGTTAATCATCCTCTCCTTCTCGTTTTCTTTTCTGCCCACGAGTGTCTGGTTCTTCCTCGTCTTCATCTTCATCTTCATTGAGGTCCTCTTCTTCATCTTCTTCATCATCTTCTGGCTCAAATTCACCTTCATCCTCTTCATCCTATCAAATTTTGGGTTTTCTTTTAATATTTAGGCCTTGCTATCAAAATTTAGGATTTTTTAATTTATAAAGTTAAAACATAGTAAGCCCCAAAAAATAGGCAAACAGCTATCTGAAAAATTTTGACAAACTCCTGAGCACAGAGGTTAAAATACAGCAATGAAGTACAGTACTTGATAAAGTGGTTGAAATTGCTTAAGTACACAGGTTATGGTTCCTCCTGCCTCCTCGTGGATTCCACAAACTTTTAACAAACATCACTGCAATTTCTATTTTGAGTCCTGAATTAGAAAATTTTCAAACCTACCGACAGATTTTCTTTTTGCAGCATATCAAGACCAGGTTCATTCTCATCATCATCATCTCCAAAATCTTCTTCATCATCATCATCATCACCATCCTCTCCTTCATCTCCAAGATCCCCATCATCGTCATCGTCATCATCTTCGTCATCAACAGCCCCTTCAACATCTCCATCAGCATCTACGCCATCTTCATCATCATCTTCATCTCCCTCATCATCATCATCTTCATCCTCCAACTCATCATCTAATTGGGAGAAATTTGAAAAAATATAGTCACTACAATCAACAATAAACTCTTCTTTGTAATAAAGAGAAAATTCTTTAAAGAGAATTCATATAATGCTTAACCATGAAGCTCGTTTCTGTGAGAACAGGAAGCAATTTCATATTGGCATGACCAATTGCACCGAACCACTCTACAGAGGTGGATAAAGTATCGGAACCTGGGAACGTAGTTCCCAGAAATTTTTCTAGATGAAAATGTTAGCAGAAAGTTTCACAGAAAATTTTTGTAAGTAAATATAAGAAAAGTAAATATAAAAATCTTGTGACATAGGTTAGGTCAAATAAGCAGACGATACACCAACTAAGTATAGAGATATAGGCACAAACAGAAAGTTTATTTGTCTACCCCCTAAATCTTGCAGAAAGTTTTGAGCCAGATTCTTAGGTTCCCAGAAAGAAAAAAAATTTTCCACCTCTGCCACTCTAGGTCCAAATCAAAATCCACTTTGCTGGTTCAAAAACCAACATCCATTCCAATTAACCAAACAACTTAAATTGTCATTGACGAAAACAAAACACAGACAACAATAAACACATATATGTACGATTGACTTACTTTGTGAGAAACCTAACAAAACCTACATGGGAAAAGGTACAATTAAAGTGCTAGTGAAAGTTGCTTGTTGTTATGGGAAGATTGAGTTTCTTGGGCATATAATATTTTGTCACATTTGACAGACATTGTGTAATTCAAAGTAAAAAAAGAACTTCTTTTAAAAAGCAACATGCAATTATGATGCAACTTACCTTCATCATCAAGCCCATCTTCTTCGTCATCATCTTCCCCGTCTACATCATCAACTTCTTCTGTTATAGAAAAAGAATAAGGATCAACAGGGATTTCATTAGAAGCCGGCAACCAGCCAAAGTCCACTACATCAACGTCTTCTTTCACCCTCACTTAACTAAGACTGCACAAACTTTAGTTACCTTATAAATGCCTACTTTTAAATGTGAAAAATTAATGAAAAGCTTGGATCAACAACTTCTTTCAAAACTGACATTTCAAACAAAACTACTCAAAACCAGCCAATTTTGTACAAAATAGTTTGACATAACAAACATCAGGAGAGTAAATAATTAGTGACTGCAAGTCTTAACAGAAAATAAATCTGCAGATATGACAAGGGCAGAAAAAAGAATGCTAAAAAGGAAACACACATTTAAACAAAAATTTGCCAAAATGCCATTTGTGTATTAATTTCTAGTATCATTCTATTTTTGTGCTATTGTACCAAAACTAAACTATGGAAAAGGCCTGAAGTAAAATCTTCAAACATTTTAGGAAGCAACAAAAGTTCTAAAAAGACTTTTCAGAACAATAAATTACTGAATAATAGAAAATAATTTATTTTGTTACCTTCATCATCGTCTTCAATCTCCTGGTCATCCCTAAATTGAAAAAAGATGTAACAACAAACTAAGTTGAATGCAATATACATGTGTGAGGGAACAGATATGTCATGCAACATACTGCATCATCAACATTGGCAATAAAACAATACTGCAATGACATTAGAAAATTGTATAGGCAAGAGAGTAAGTTTAAAAAAAATTAAAATTGATCCAATTTACATATCAGCTGAAATGAATTGGAACTATATATATATATAAAGATGTTCTTGGAACAAGCTTTCCTGCTATTATTAGTCTAAAATATTAATAAAATTTTCAGCACATTGAAAAATGCATTAAAATAAAATAAGATAAACATGGCAGTCAAAATATCTCTAAAATGAATACCATCTTCATACTTGAGAAATATTATATCAGTCATAAATATATACTTTACTCACTTGTCAGTTCCGTCCAGGAACTCGAGAGATGGCACAAGACTGAACAATCTCTGTCTGTATTCTTTTTCTGAAGTGACTTCACAGTTGAACAAATCTAAGCTTTTAAGTTCCTTCAAGTCTTTCTAGAATGCAGAAATTAATGGAACTCAGATATAGGGAAATTTATTTATATATTTCAAGCAACTAAAAAAACAAATATTGGAGCAAGCCTGGCCACAAGACGTCTGTGTCTACCAAAAAATGCAAACTTCAACAAGCTGAGGGTTGTTGTATATGACATAACAAAAAGAAAAAAAGAGAAAATAAAGAAAATCTATAGTGATATGATCTAGCCCGCTGGATGGAAGTTTTGGGAATACCGCCAGACAATTCAACAATCACACAGACCCTTAACCTTGCGCCCCACTAAATGGAAACAAGGAGACCAAAAGCCCACCATCCAACATCAAGAAACGCACCAGGGGAATCCGCAATCCCCACGGCTGATTCGGCAGAAAAAAGCACAATAGCCAAACAAAAGACAGCACTCCCTGCCTATTTAAGCACGGATTGGCAAATGTCTTGTATTGATCCCCTTTTGGACAGTATACAATTACACTCCTAGAAATTTCCAGGTGAGCTATTTGTAAATGAATATCAACAGAAACAAAGGATATCAAGAAGAGCAATTTAGAAGAGCAATATGTAGCTCCCCTACAGCTCTTCTCAAACAGCCAGGCCTGTTGAAGTGTCAAATTTCAATAACTATAACCTCAAACATACGCTTATAAGTTGAGTTTTCAAGATGTTAATCTAGATGAAAAAAGCATTGGACCTATACAACAGATACTATACTTAAAATGTTTGTTATAATTTTGGGGCTTTATTTGAGGGTCAAGTTGTATGCAGGATTGATTTGTATGCATAAACAGGTGTCTACAGTAAAACAGTGCTTAACAATTACCAGTGTTATCAAATACAGTTGCTAAAGACACTTAAAAGAGCTCTGAAAGAGAATTTAGATTGACCAAGTGATATGTAACTTTCAAGGGGAATAGATATGATTTTAACAATAGTGAGTCAATATAAGGGTTATTTGGTTTGTAGCAATTAAAAAGATATATACAGTGTAGACAATACTGAAAATAAAGAACAAGAAAAAAGTAGAAGAAATAAACTGGCTGATATATATATACTGTTAAGAAATTAATACTGAATGTGCAAGTAAAGTATTAAATACAGTATGAAGTGACATAGCATGAAGTGGAAAGCAAGCCAGAAGTGGTAGTACAAAGCAAGCCTAAAGTGGAAGTTAAAAAGCAAGCCAGAAGTGGAAGTTTCATGTGAAAATGAAGATAGAATAAGGTAAGATTCAATACAGTAATGGCTCCTGGTACAAAAAGATGGTTTGTGAGCATGCCTTCACCCAAAAATTATTCAGGACTTTTAGGGCTTCTCATTTAACCAAGTAAGTTTTTGGTACAGCAAAATTTGTAGGTTATACAAAAAAGCAGGAAACATCGCATAGCGGAAACTCTGAAGAGTGTTGGACGAAAAGAACACAAGTATGCAATGTTTCAGCTGCTTCATCCCTAGGGGCAAAACCAAAAGGGAGATGGGTATGGGGGCCTTGGAAAGGTTCTGAAATTGGTTAACAAATCACTATCAGATACCAATCAGAAAAGATAACAAATAAAATGGTACTGACAAGTCTACATGTATTGAAAGGTTCTAGTCAAATCTTCATTTCGTTAAGGCTTTGAAGAAAGCAAACAGTTCAAAAAGCTTTTCCTCTTGACACTCCATGGAGCATAAAACTCCAGAATGAGGGTCCAAAAGAACATGATGAAAGATATACCCAGTTGTGGATCAAAATAGGCCAATCAGAAAAAAGCAAGCACAAGTCTAGTATAGTTGTCCAATCAATGGATCTATTTCATAGGAATTTATATTACAAAACTGGAATTTCTTTTTCGAAATTAAACTTATGTTCTTCCTTGAGGTCCTCATACTGAAGTAAATATCAAAGCTGCCTTCCAACAGATATTTAGTGGGTGTTAGAATCATGTAAACTGAGTGAAAGTCCAGCTTCACTCAATATTTAGTGGTTGTTAGAAACATGGAAATTGAGTGAAAGTCTAGCTTCACAACAATAAACATTGGGCAGCTCGATACTAGTAGATTGAAAACTGGTTTCATTAAAAAGATAAAAGTGAACCGAAGTAATCTGCAACAGAACTTTAGAAAGTTGGCATGAGATAGGTGGCAAGAATTCTATATAATTTAGTGAGTCCTTATAAGTTGGTAGATATTCATTCCTTTATGCCCCACTATGCCCTCTTACCAACATTATCCAATCAAGCAAGCTGTGACAAGCTTTATTTTTCTTTTAATATCGCAAAGGTGAGGGTGGGTCACCTTGACCCAATTTATGTAGACTGACAAAAGGTACTGTTCACATGCTACCGGATTCCTTCTGTATCAGAATTTGTCCTCTGAAAAATCCATTTCTTCAAGACATTGCAACAGATGTCCCAAACAAACAGATCCATGTGTTCACTGATAGAACTCAGAAGTGAGATGATTTGGTTCTATACCACATTCAAAGTAGAATGAGTTGACTAAGCAAGAATGCTACAGCACACCTGGTCATAGTGTTGTGACCATTGTCAAATGTAATCATGTCTTCCATTGTATCAATGTCATTAACACCTTCCATTGTCTCCGTATCCACAGCAACGTAATCAACAACACTTTTGTAGCCTCCCCTCTTTTTATGTACGCCCTGTATTGTAATCTAGTGTGTACGCCCTGTATTGTAATGTAGTGTGTACCCTATTTTGTAATCTAGTTCAGTTCAGTTCAGTTAGAAACAAGACACACAATAGGCGCAACATCTCTCTCTGGCTCTGTGTTCTCTGCATGTAAAATAAGACACAGCACTGGTTGGAAATGACACATTAATTGATGGATGGATTTATTTAGCGTCTACATTGATTGCCCTTCCGATGTACACTAAAATAGGTCTTTTAAAAGGGGAGCAGTAAACAGCTCTCCTGATAATTTCAAGGTGAGCTAACTGTAGATGAATATGAATAGATTTCAAAGGAAAAATATAATTCAGATTTTGGCGAGGCCTCAAAAGCACATCAGATTTTGGCATATAGATAATATAAAAAGTGGTAGACAACAGAAAACCCGGCCAAGCCCTTCTGTGACTTGAAAACTCATGTAAAGGGCACCTTAGAAAACCTAGATTTAGGTCATACCTTTCTAGCACACATAATTATGTATTCTGATTATTCCATAATTAATATAATTAGCACATATCATTTATGATTATTCTGATATTATTTTGATTATAAGAATGAAGCATAACAAATGGCAAGAAAACAGTTAATACATAAATGTGATTTGCTGCCTTGCTGTGCACGACAAACACAAGTTGTTAACCTCACAACGGAAGCAACAAAAGACCTTTAACCCATTTCAAACAATTTTATGTTTTTAATGGACATGGGGATCTGGAATAAATAGGGTGGATGGAAAATATTCTGTAATAATATTTGGGGGGGATGGCTTGCTGTCCTTTTGAACAAGAAACAGAAGGAGACACTGTTTACATGGAGAAAAAGAAAAAACTAATTTACAAAACAAAACTAGTATAAAAAAGTTGGTTCTATTGTTATAAAATTTTTCCACAATTTTCTTTTTGTCCCTAGATGTTGTTCTTCATGCTACAATGAGCTTTGCTGAATAGATCTTACACGTCTCAGAACTGGGGCCTATCACACTGGCTTGATAGGGAAAGTAACTTTTCTAAAGTGGCTATATAAAAGTCAATTTGCAATAGATTTAACTGATTCTGCATATTTTGAAAGGTACTCTAAAATGTTATTTTAGTATTTATGATCAAAATCCAAAAATTATTAAAATAATTATTTGAAGCAAATGTTGGTAATGTTTATAACCATTTTCTTCCGATTTCTAACAACAACATCCATTACGGACAGCTTTACACAATGACACCTCTATACAACAAATACATTGCAATAGTAGAGACATTTTTGTCTCTAATGGTCAAAAGGCTCTTAAAGGAACCTCAGTACAACAGATATTTCTACACAACAAGCAGTTACTGTAACATACACTGGTCCACACTGGTCCACACTGGTCCAAACTGGTGTGCATTTCTACACATCATGTTAACATTGAGTGTTTTGCGCTTAAATTAGAAGCAAGACTAAAGCAACCAGCTGATATGGTATTGTCAAATAATCATGTGTAAGCTATTATTAAATTTTAAGCCATTCTTCACTTCATCAATGGGTTGGGACCGTCTTGAAAAAAGTACCTTACATTTGATTGGTTACAACAGCAGATCTCACTTAGATATGGTTGATTGATTAATAAAAAATGTTTAAAAAGGATGCACCAATCACCAAGAGGTACTTGTCCTCAAAATTTTTTTACAGTAAAGCAAAAATGCATCAACAGTACTATTTTGGTACAAAGGAATACAACATGGGTTTTTAACACCAAAATGAGCTTTTAAAAATTAACAAATCTATGAGAGTTATGGAATCAAGATTCATATGAAAGCCAAAATTGCAAACTTGAAAGAGAACAGGCCAAATTATCTATGAGGTGTTGGTTTACTTTGTCATTTAGCTAAACGTTTTGAGCTTGAAATCTGGATGTCTCTCCTTACCAAATATATTGATGTTTTAAACTGTAAAAACGGCCAGCGTGACCACGCAATATTATTCTATTTCATATCATATCATTTATTTAAAGAATAATATCAATTAATCTGTCACTCTATTTCTATAATGATTTATATTCAATATAAGAGAGTATTAAATATGTATATAATCTTTAAATAAAACAACACAAAATAGCGAAGTGGAAAATTTATTCACCAAAAAGACAACTAATTTATACATTATATTCACATTCTAATATGAATGCATGTTACAGCTGGGCAATGGATGCAAAAGGTTAATGAAAGGGTAAAATAGCTCCATTTTACAAGTTTAGTAAGCCGAAAGATAACAGCTTTATAGAATAGATATGAATTTCCTGTAAACAACATTCTTAACTAGTTTCCTAAAAAGCCAGGAAAGCCTTAAAATATAATTTTCAAAAAACCACAATACATTAAACATTAATGGGAATTTCATAACAATGTTTATGGAATTCTTGGGTTTGTAAAAACTTCACTTGCGGGCAAAAACTTTTTGTAAAATTGAAATTTCTGACTCTTCAATTCAGCTCTTATGCCTTCAGTTGACCATTGACATTACATTCAAATAGCTAACTCAAACAGTGCTGAAAAAAGATGTGCCACTTAAAATCTGGCTGGCCTTCTTGGCACTTACTGTTGGCACTAACTGTTGGCACTAACTGTTGGCTCAGGTGGAGAAACAGGCCTCGCAAGGAGAGGCGCCCAAGCTAGATCAAGCACTTCCACATGGACCTAGAAAGTTCTAGTAGCTGGATTGATCAAGCACCTAGTGTGTTTATGCAGTCAAAAAACTAAATGCAGAAAACCAAATTTTGTTATAAATGATAATTGAGTGCCTAGAAGTTGAAGAACTCAGTTTGTCAAGTGCCTGCTTCTTGCTCCATGCAAAACCTGGTGGAGATATGGCTCATACTACAAACTGCCTGATTCAGATTCAAGTACATTTCAAGTAAAAATACAGCAGCTAATGCGAAGACTTCTATTCTCTCGTCAATATCAGCCTACATGTAGACAAACATATATTCTCTTTTTGGACTTTGTCTTTCTTTATCCAGTAAAAACTGACATATAAGACTTTTTTCAGTTGCGCACCAAATAATTGAAACTGCTGAGCCAGGATTTTTCTCTTTATCCTTCAAGTGCATTTCTAGAACTCGCTTTCAACTTATTGCATCTAATGCCCTGTCAAACAGCGCTGGTCTATTTGGTCTTCCCTGCACCCAGGGGCAGACACTTGGTCAAATACTCCAAAGTATTGGGGGGACTGTCCCCTCCCCCCCCCCTAGGTGTCTGCCACTGCCTGCACCCAGGAAGACCAGTTTTTATCTCGCGAGACTGCTTATTGTTCCACAGGGTAAACACTGGGTGACCAGATTTTTATTGGAAATGTCTATTTCTGATCAAAGATCATTGCTTTTTGTCAAAATGTAATTGTCAGCAACTTTAATGCTAACCCTGCTGTTTTTCTTTGTGTTCTAAAAAAACTAGCTTTTATGCTATTCTTAACATCATAACAAATGCTATTTTCTTCAAAATCGATTCCTTTTATGAGAAACTGTACAGTCTAACCCAAAAAATGTCATTCTTACATGTGATTTCAAGCCGAAATATGTGATTAAAACTTTTGCTCCATTATTCAACACCAATTTTTATTTCTATTTGTACCCATCTAATAAAACCTTATCTAATCAAATATATGCCAAATAAGGAGATTCTTACTGACAGAAACTTATTGAAAATCAAACTTACCAGTGAGTCTAGAGCTTCAAAGTCTTTGATTTTGTTTCCACTTAGGCTCAAATGGGTCAATTTTGGGCACTTTAGGAGATTGTCTAAACCACCAGATACTCGGTTGTCACTCAGTTCCAACTAAAATTAAAAAATTGTAAGTTGAAATCTCATGAAAAAAAGGATTGTTAACATGTGGAAAAATGCTTCATCCTTCTAAGCATTCATGAGCATTTTGGCTAGATAAGTCTTGATGAAAATATGAAAAGGGGCCTAATTTCATGAACTAACAGAATATAAAAACATAGAAAATATGTAAAGAACAAAGTTGGTAACTAAATATATCAGGTGCTTTTTTCGAAAACAAAAAATCAAGGAACTTTTGTAAAAATTGTCCGATATGCTTTTCAATTAAATGACTTAAAACATATGAGTGACGTCATTCTGCCAATCAAATACTTCTCGATGCGCTGGACAAGAAGTTTTGCGGATATAAAATAGGTATACAGGAACTTTAAATGCAAGAAAAAGGATTAATGTTATATAAAAGGGTTCATTTTACATAATTTTGTGTTTTTTAGTACCCGTTATGTTTTTGGTTGGCATTTTCGCTTCAAGGTCAAAACGGCTAAATTCACCGCCGCGAGACATGTCGAGTCACCGTGTTTACAAAATTCACTGGAAATATGAAGTTTGAAGAGATTATAAATTTGTTTTAACATAAATTTATTCCTTTTCGAAAATGGGTCTGAAGACACACTTATATGGCCTTAAAATCGTACACAAAGGGTTAAAACTGAGGGAAGTAAAGAAAGTTGAGCGTTCCCGCGTCAGTCTGCCGCGTCAAGATGGCGGCCAAGGAAACATCACTCTCGTGGCAATGCGACAAAAGATCTCTTAACTCCTTGACTTCAATTAGGTCTAAATGGGATTTAGTTAGAAAAAACCAAACATCATAGATTTATTTTTGTACAATATTACAATTAAATGAGTTGATTTTGTGTGAGTTCCTTATCACATTTCTATACCACTTTGGAGCCAAGTTGGACAACATGGCCTCTGTTTAAACAAATTAACTCCCCTGATAGTTGTGATTAAAAGAAACTCTGAGAAACTCTTGCTAAACAAATAATTAACTGTTAAATATATTCACTTCAGGAGTTAACTGGAGTTTGGGAACTCTTTAAAGTCGTGGGAAGGCAGTTTTGGCAAACAAGTTGTGCGCGGTTTTTGAGTTGTGCACAGTGAAACAAGATGGCCTCCAAAATCGTGCTGGAGGAAGACCTTCGCGGAGTTAACTTCTAAATTCAAACCCCAGGCAGAGAGAAATATTTATAACTTAATTGGGGTTTTTTATAAATACTGTATTCCTTTATTATCCGCAACGCTGAGGAGGTTTGCGACGGTTGAATTTAGGAGACAAGATAACCCGAGGTGAGAGATTGGAAAAACAAGTGAAATGAAGACACAAACCTTTCGCAATTCTGGAAGAGCGGGGAATCCCTTCAACGTGGTTAAACCGACATTTATCAGCGATAATATCTTTAGATTCTTGAAATCTTCAAGTCCAATAACATTTGTTGATCTACAGTTATCCAAATTGAGTTCCGTAACCTAGAAATTGAGGAGATAGAGAATGAAGTTGGGATAGGGGTGCAGACATCTTGCGGGTTATCGGGCCGCATGGTGTGTGGAGAAAAAGCTACCAAGAGATATTAAAATGTAAATTTGAGTAATATAACAAATAGAAACATCAAATAACATAATTTATTCTGATTCAAATAACTGTAAGATGAGACTATTCAAGATTTAAATTCAAGAGAGACGAATCCCCGGTAAAACGAGGCCTTCCCGTCCAAAATTCACTAACATTCCTCAGTCCTCTCGCACATGGTCCCATTTTAGGCAAGAAAAAACAAGCGCAAAGACAACATTCGTTAAAAAATAATTCAAAAAAGCAAGCTCACCTTTTCTTTATCTCTACCACGACGTTCAAGCTCTATTCTGTGTTCCATTTTGCTAATAGACGAATTTTAAAACGAACTTCACAACCTCCTCTCTTCCCGCTACAAATGTGTATGGCTGGCCATTGCATATGCAAATCAGCTCCTCATATTGGCGGGCGTCACGGACAATAGAACATCCGGGAACTGCGAAATATGAAAAAACAATAGAAGATACGGGAACTTAAACAAAAACAATAGCATGAAACAATGGAAATAGAATGTGAAGGGACTGTAAAGAGGGGGAGAGAATCGAGGAGTTTCAGGGAATGGATGTTCGAGCCAGAAAAAGTCAAATTAACAGCAAAAATGTCATAAATATCAAATTGCACATTTTGCTTTATAAATGCAAAATGTGCAATTATAAAATGCAGAGAAGAAAATATAAATCGGATAAATTTAACCCTAGAACACTATAACTAGAATTAAATTCTCTAAAGAAATATTTTTGGATTACAAAACCATCTGAAGAAAGTCAAATTTTTCACAAAAAAATTACTTCATTTTATAAAGTTTAAATAAATCTTAAGAAATGTTTCAGCTAAAATGTTTTTCTCAGAGCAGCTGTTTTTAGAAAAAAGAAAATGATTACTGAATTTGATGGCAAATTTTGATATCTTTTCTCTCAGGCAACTAACTTTAAAGATTGTAAGGCAAATTTTGTAGAATAAGTGGGAAAAAGCTGTTCGGGGAAAAAAAACCTGGAATTTGGGAAACTGCTCGATTAAATCAAGAAATTTACAAACAATTTCAAATTGCTTTCCAATAAATCCGTCGATTAAGTAAACAAAAAAGTGATTTTTCTCAGAGCCTTAAAATAATTTGTATCAAACTGTATATTTTCAATTAAAATGTATTATAAAAAATTTAGAAGTTATGCTAAATTTGGGGATTGGAAATAAAGCGACTAATTCAAAGCCTGATCAAAAGCCATTTTCTTCCTCCTTCATTTGGAATAAATTATGCAAAACAGCACGTGACATGGAATCAAAGGCGTGCTTCGTTCGGAATTTTTCAAACTCTGGCGCAACAAAAAATATTTTTTCAATGACAAATTTTGAGGTACTCCTAACGCAAAAAGGTAAAATAAAAACATTAATAGGCGCGCAAACTGTTAAAGTTATAACAAGTTTGATAATATCTTGAATAAATCTTACGCAAAAGGCTAATCTTTGCGATTCTTTTGAACATGTATCTTCGGGTGTCATGGCGTCGCGAAGAGAAGGCCTGTATTTCGAAGCCCGAACATTTGAGTTGCAAGACGCCAACAACTTTATGTGTACATCCATTTTAAGATTGAAAAACCAACGGGGATTTCATTCCAAATGTAAATCCAAAAGAAAGACGGTAATTTTCTTGCCATTATCCGAGGAATACGAAATTGCAAAAACTTGCAAACTGTTGTCTTTGATCTGGAGTGAAAAATTTCAATATGGCGTCGCACAAATTTCTGTTTCACTTGTTGATTGAATAACAGCCGGCCTCGCAGCCACCGAGCCCAAAAGGGCTGCCTTCACGCCTACAAAAGATTTATTTCGTGGATAAAATTTGTTGACAAGTTCCACAAAGAAACCATTCGGCAATGAAACATTCACTAATTAAATGTTTATCAATATGAAAAATTCATGTAACTGTAATGGTGGTACCAGAAATGATAATTTTCGTCTCAAGACAAAGCCTGTTTATCTTTTAATGTCACTTACAAATTCAGCAATTTTATTTTGATTTCAGAAAAGGAAACACACTTGTTTTGATTGCTCTGTTTTTGAATACCTTTTCTATCGAATCAGAAATTTAATCACTTGTATTTGAAGTTTCTAGGCAAATTTTTAGCAAGATACTGATTGTTTGAGAAAGGTACTGAATAAATTTCAGGACAAGGATTTGAAGAAAACATTAATTTCTGATAGTTATTTGTTAATGTTCAAAACTCATAAGTTTAAAATCCGAGTTAATTCATTCGGGACATGACGCTTTCTGGAGCATGGGGAAAAAGGAAATGCTAGCACTTAATTTGGCAGATGTTACCCAGGTGGGCAGATACTGAATTAGGGGGGAGGAGTTTGGGGAATATGCCTGCAAAAGGGGGCTGGAATACAGGCTATCAGAGAGCTTTGTTATTCAAAGTTTATGAAACAATTCACAGAAGGTAATAATCAGCTTTTAATATTTGCTCCAGTGCCTCTGAAACCACCTGGCCGCCCTGACAATACTATTATGATATGGTCCGTGATACAGAGGCCAGGCCAGGGGGGCCATGATCTCCTTACTTTTTCTCTAAATAAATAATAAAATAGGCTTAAGATATTGAAATATTAGATGCTAGAATAGTATAGGTTTTGACAAATACATCGAAGCCAAGTCCACAAGTACAAACAGCGTCAAAAAATGATTGCCATGACAATTTGGGCTAGAGGGGTTGGGAAGAAAACTTTCTTTACGTTGCTAGCCCCTCCAGTTTAGGGTCAGTGATGCAGGCCCAGCATGAGCTGCTCATTTTGTGAATATCTACTCAACTTTGAGAATTATATCAAAGACTTTGAGCAGGGGCTTTCTCACTTGCTCTGGATGAACTGAAAGCTTTTCATTAGTTGCATATAAATAAAACTACATCATTCTAATTGATTTTGTTAAACTATTGTTTCAGATTATCTGAACGTAAAAACACAGCATAAATTGGGTCACAGAATTCAAGGCTATAAACTGACCCCCAACAAAGAAACATAATGCGTTGGTCAACTTAATGAAACTTGCTCGGGGCGGCCCCAGCGTACAGTGCCGAGATATTTTACCCGGTAAGCAAAGACAGAATAATGCCAAGATCAAAGTTTGAACTAGATCTACCCTAAGAAATACTGGACAAACGTGCCTATCCTACCTAGGGCCAAAAATATGGACCAGTCTTCCATCAGCACTAAAATCAACATCCAACATCAACATAAAAACCTTTAAAGCAAGTATCAAAACCATGTCTGCGATTTCTTGCTCATGCACCATTAATAGGACAAGTAGGCTATATAAAATGACAGGGAACCTACTCTACATTAACGTATCTTGTTAGTATTTCATCTATTTTTGTTTAATTCGGATATTGTTTATATACTTAGTTGGTTTAATTAGCTTTAGATAAGCATGATTAATAGTCATAAATTAGCACTTTAGATAAGCATGATTAATAGTCATAAATTAGCACGATTAATTATTTCAAGTAAAGGGTTAGGGTTAGGGTTAGGGTTAGGGTTAGGGTAAGGGTAAGGGTAAAGGTAAGGGTTTTGGTTAGGTTTAGGGTTAGATTTAGGGTTAGGTTTAGGGTAAACTAATTACGTCATCAGGTCGAGCAGTATGGAAACTAGACAGCTCCGTAGTGTACGTTTACCAACCCAAAAGAAAGTGAAGAAAAAAACACATTCAAGCATAGGATCAAAGAGAAGTTTTTCCAAGATATAGTTAAAAGAATGATGGCATATATTTCTACTACTAAGGACCGGTTTCTAACTTAAAACAGTCACTAATTCCTTTTTCCACTTTTCCTGTAAAAAGGGGACCAGTATGGAAATATGCTAAGCTGGACCTTTTTATGCTATCCCTGCCACTGAAATTAGGCGTGTTTATCTTTGTTTTTAATTTAGATCATTGCATTTTAATCGTTTTAACTTTTATAGCCTGTTAATAAAAATATTGTGGCGAATTATACAGACATACATACATACATGTTTGTAGCTTAATATAAAAGTCTTGCCCAAGTTATTCAAAATTGAAATTGAATATTCTCGGCCTTCGACAACTTTTTTGCATTTTTCCAGATGTTTGACTATTGGATTTAGGTATCACTTAAACCAGTTTGTATCTTACAACACCCCCAATGGCGGCGCCAGTCACTAGGCTTTGGGGGGAGGGAGGTTAAGACAGAAAATTTTAGGCTATGCCCTTTTTAACCACCAGGAATTGCCCTTTAGCCACCAAAACGGAACGCAAATTTTACTTGAAGGGAACGCCTTTGACTAAGTTTTGATTACGTCAAGGCAATTTCAAAATCACAGAATTACATCACAAAAAGTTTTTGTCTCGCCCCAACGTTATCTCATTGAATTTAGACGAGTTTAGAATGCATTAGGAAAGAGTTTTCATGGAATTTGTTCGAACCAGTAAAATCAGTTTTTGCTTCCAATCTTCGATCATTAAATGGAGATTTTCACCTCCCTACAACGTCTTTCAAACTTTATTGGAACGCGCAGAAGTTTGTGCTGTGTTCTCTGGCTTTCCATTTCTTTTCCCGAATGCTACTTCTTCAACCCGTTTTCCCAAGACAATTTTGACAATTTAGAAAATATTATACCGGCCACTAGAAAAGGCGTTCTCCAAATAAACCTCTTCTTTTTTCAGTCGTCAACCAACATTGTTCCTAGAGGGAGAGGGATGGCTGAACTTGCCTTTCAAACTGACGTTAGTCTTCCGAGAATTCTGGCAGGGATTGTAGCTTTTAACTGGCTCTCTTGGACGCTGTTCCCCTGGATTCATTTCTAGATCCACTGCTATTCAACGTATCCTAAGACACGAAACATTGGTGGAACTTAAAGTCTTTCCAGAAAATAAGTGACAACACTGCCAAAATATTAACTTTTGGAGCGTTTTCCTGTTTTAAGGTTACGGTAAACGTTTTCTGGATGAAAACATCATTTTTTCGATTTTTTCACATTCAAGTAGCCGAACTTTCAAGGCACACAATGATACCAAATTTGAAACAAACAGAAGTTTTGAAAGTGGAAAAAATCCCATGTAAACGAAGGTTTCCATAATTTCTTTATCAAAACTTTTAGTTGAGGCCTGAAAATCTCTTGACCTTTTAAGCCGATTATCGTTGCTTTGCGGTTGTAGTCGCATGTCTCATTTACAATATCGCATGGCACATCCATATACCCAATGTACGGCCGTGTTTATTTAAACAGGCTTATTGATCTTAAATCTTCAAGTGACTTGACCCGGATTACACTGTGGTTTACGAGTGTATCTTGCAAGTGCGATTAGTAAAATCCCGTTTTCTCCGGACTCGAAATTCCTCTACATGCAGGAACGAAAAAGCTATTATGTACCCAAGGGACCAATCGAATGGCTCGAAAATTTGCACACGGCCAGGGCAGACGTTGGGCAAACAAAGTGTGTCTCAAAATTTTTTTATTTTCTCTGGTCCGTCTTTTATACCCAAATACAGCTGCGGGAGGATGGAAAAATTATTTGCCAATTTTTGACAGGGTATAGTTTAAAGAAGAGGAGGAATTTAAAAAATCTGAGACAAACTTTGGTAGCTTAGGACCGGCACTTCCTGCTGGTCTAAGTCAGATTTTGTTACCTCAAACGCAAGGGTACATAATAGCTTTTGAAGGTGGTACACTTTTTGACAAGTAAATTCGCATGGAAAATAACATTTAACATTATTTGCCAATAATTTTTATCTGGCTAGATACGCCATAATCTTGTGCATCGAATGATATATAGTTTATCCAGATTCCTTAAGCCGTTTGGCCTTTAGAAAGGAAAAACCAATTTTCGTGTTCAAAACGTTTACCGTAATCTTAAAAAGCCTGATGGGGTCTGGAATGAGTCTTTCGAGAGGGTGGGGGAGGGGTATTCGAGCACCGAACAGCTTTTTCACTGAGAATAGTATTGGGAACTATAGGACGCAGGGAGGTGTAAATTCCAGCCGTTTTCTTATCATTGAGTTTTTAACCTACTTATTTAGCTGATTGTCAACAAAGATTTCATTACTGGGGGAAGACATCTTGGGGCAAACGTTTCGGATAATTTTAAAGGTCATTGAATTTCTTAAAGTTGACCACATAATCTTAAAGAACGGCATAAAATGCCTCTCATTCTGCAAAATCAGGTGGGTATGTTCAAAATTGGGCAGGATATGACCAATGAAAGATTTCAAGTTTGCTAAAATATAACTGTTATTCTGGCCTGGTTCATAAAGTTATGAACCCAGACCAAAATACAGAGGTTTGATTGGGGAAGAGCTTGTGCTTATGTGGCCATATCTCAGCCAATTTGTAACAATTTCAACAGATTTTGCACATTTAAAGGTATTTCTTAATGCTCCTTTCTTAATGGCACAACCGTTGAACAGGCACAACCTCGCACATCCATTTAATTTAAGTATTGGTTTTGAGGAATGGCTTCCCGCATTGTTAGGGTCCCTCTTGAAATTGGAAACGGGCTTCAAACTTTGTTGTTACAAGATAATAGGAAGCTCGATCCAGTCTTTTTTATAGGTCAGTGCACCTTGTAAATAGGCTATGACGTCAGTCCAAAAGTGACGTAGACAACCTGCGAGGAGCCTTTCATCTCACGAGATTCACAGCGCGCGCATCTCTGCATCGCTGGTACGCGGCTCACCAAGAAGCAGAAAACGGACAAGACTGAAGATTCATGATAGTTCTAATCATATCTTTCTTAAATTATCTGCCAATTCTGAATTTACAAGATATCATACAGGAATCTCACAAGAGGTTTATACTAGAAGCCTGATAGCTCTGGCAGAAACTGAGACTTCAGATTATGAAATGCAGATAAAGGTTACAGATAAACACCAATTACATACTATCTGTGTAAGATTATTAACGAAAAATCATTCTCCTATAGATGGGATATTTTTGACAAATTATGACAAGCAAAGGTTCACCTTGAGCCTCCAAAGGTCAAAGTTCGCCTTGAGCTCCCAAAGGTCATGGGCCAAATGTCATAATTCAGCTAAGCCCACAGCAGTCGTGTTAAAAATGCTATATCCAGTTGCCATGTCAGGCATTAAAAATTACTTTGTACCTACACAACCCGAGTCAAACAGTTCACCGGCTTGTGCTTGTGCCTGCTAAAAAGGTCAAAAGTCAGTGCCGATGACTTCTACAAAGGTCACAGAGGTCAGAGGTGACGATACCTGTTCTCAAATTCAAGCAAAGAGCTCTGTTTCGTATACACGTGAGTCAAATCTTTGCAATTTACTTAGAACAACTGACCATGCACATTTCTTGGGTCATCTTTCTGAAACTGTGGTATATGCGTCTTCATTTTTCTTTTAAACATTTCAAATCATTTTTACACCAAATTGTATTCCTTCAGATTTAGCTGCAGAATTGTGTCCTTGACTGCAGCAAAGACAAAACGAATGTTTTCCGTGTCGGTAGCACATGTGAAATGCGAGTAAATGATCTTTTCTGTATCAGGATTCAGATCGACAAACATTTTTAAAATGAATTCTTTGGCGGCTTTTCCGTCTTCTTTTGGTCCTGAAAAGCATCATTTAAAGTCAATTAAAGATCAGCAGGAATTATCCACAGGCATAACAGAGGCATCAGTAGCCTGCGTGCAGACTATTTAGGGCCTTAAGGAGAAACTGAGACAGGGCCTTTATTTATGGACTGCAAAAAGGTCCAGCCAGCGCTGTATAGCATGTAAAACACAACAGCAAAATGTAAAAATGATAATTTTTTCTCATTAAAGACTCTTGGCTACCAACATGCATAGCGGCAACTGTCTTGAGAAACTGATTGTGTTTTGTATTTTCATGCAGTACGATATTAGGCTGGTTTTGAAAATATAGTTACAAAGCATGAGAGTTGAACAAGAGCCTTCAACTAGAGAAAGCTTGGTTATAAAAGCTTCAATTCAAGAACTTTAAATATTCTGAATTCAAATGTAATAAAACATGAATACAAAAACAAAGTTGGGGGCCCCCTTTGGTTGAAGGCTCTTAGTTGTCAAACTAAGGTGCCCTGAGCTGTGTTAATCTACTGTCCACAGATTATGTGAAATTTTTTTCAATTTTTAACGGCATGAGTAAGAAGGAGAGGCAAAAAAGGCAACAAAACAATTTTTAATAAACAAAACATTCCTCAAACAATTTTTCATGCTACCTGGTAGAGAGTAATAGTGATGGAAATGACAGTGAAAGAAGATGGGAGATTACAGGAAACAGATTTGAGAATATTTGGACTAATCTACAATTGAAATTGCCAATGATTTGATTTGACAATGATTTAGCTACAACTTAAGTTGTCAAAGATTTAGTTTTAGATTGGCTTAACAATGATTTAGGAATCTATTTGATTCATGATTTGATTTGATTCATGATTCGATTTGAGAATGATTTAGTTATAAATTGAGTTGTCAAAGACTTAGTTTTAAATCATTTCAACGATGACTTGAATTTATTTACAATTTGATTTGACAATTATTTGATTTGATTTGGTTTGATCACAATGATTTTGTTCGATTTGAGTTGATCACAATGATTTGGTTCGATTTGATTTGACAATGATTTAGTTATAAATTGAGTTGTCAAAGATTTAGTTTTAAATTAATTCAACAATGACTTGAATTGATTTACAATTTGATCACAGGATTTGATTTGAATTAATTTGTTCACAATGTTTTGATTTAATGTGATCACAATGATTTGATTCGATTTGATTTATGATTTGGTTTGATAATAACAAAATGTGTACTCACCATCATAATCTGGAAAGTAATCCACTAAATGTGATTTAATGATTTTCTCCTCAAGGAGATCAGTTTTATTCAGGAAGAGTATGATTGATGAAGTGCGAAACCATGGGTATGTGATGATTGTTCGGAATAAGGCTTTACTTTCTTCCATTCGATTCTGCAAAAGAAGAAAAGGTTCAGATCGAGATTCAAACACAGCGCTGATTTTGAAACACATTGTTTGAAAATAGTTTGAAACATAGTTTTGAGACATTGTTTGAAACATAGTATGAAACACATATTTTGAAACATAGCTTGAAACACATATTTTGAAACATAGCTTGAAACACATTGTTTGAAACATAGCTTGAAACACATAGTTTGAAACATAGTTTGAGACACATTGTTTGAAACATAGCTTGAAACACATTGTTTGAAACATAGCTTGAAACACATAGTTTGAAACATAGCTTGAAACACATATTTTGAAACATAGCTTGAAACACATAGTTTGAAACATAGCTTGAAACACATTGTTTAAAACATAGCTTGAAACACATATTTTGAAACATAGCTTGAAACACATAGTTTGAAACATAGCTTGAAACACATTGTTTAAAACATAGCTTGAAACACATATTTTGAAACATAGCTTGAAACACATAGTTTGAAACATAGCTTGAAACACATTGTTTAAAACATAGCTTGAAACACATAGTTTGAAACATAGCTTGAAACACATAGTTTGAAACATAGCTTGAAACACATTGTTTAAAACATAGCTTGAAACACATAGTTTGAAACATAGCTTGAAACACATTGTTTGAAACATAGCTTGAAACACATATTTTGAAACATAGCTTGAAACACATATTTTGAAACATAGCTTGAAACACATAGTTTGAAACATAGCTTGAAACACATAGTTTGAAACATAGCTTGAAACACATAGTTTGAAACATAGCTTGAAACACATTGTTTAAAACATAGCTTGAAACACATATTTTGAAACATAGCTTGAAACACAGTTTGTAAGGTTATACTCAGAGTTTAAAACATTAGAGCACTGACCCAGTTGTGGCTCAAAATAGGTCAAACTGGGTATATATTTCCTAACTTAGAGGTTTCGATCTGATGTTTCTACTCTGAAGAGTGCCAGAGGAAAAGCTTTAGTGAAGAATGTTTCAAAATTCTTGCCTTTTAAAGCCATTTTTAATTTCTGTACCACTAAAAGTCTAATAAATAGTCAATTCAAAATTTCCTATTATTCAATTGTTATTAACTCGTGTGTTTCAAGTATTCAATGCCAACAGAATTTTCATTTCTAAATCTCAGTTTCTGAGACTCAGTTTGTAAGGAAGATACTGTTCAATTCAAAACCAACCATAACACAAATCAACTTAAAAGACATTGTCCCCATCGATGGCCACTTAAATTCTCATTGGTTGAACTATACAATAGATCTATTGTTATGTCATACAATAGATCTATAGTTATGTATCCAATCAGCAATGTGAGGCTAATTCAAAATCACCTCTCGATCAAAAACGCACCACAGAACAGCAGAATGTAATTGCAATCATATTGCATAATTTAGAAACCATGACACTTTTATCAGATTCCTAGTCTCTAATCCACTTTTGGATTTAATGAAGAATGAATAAGGGGCTCTTGAAATCTTTTGATCTTTAACCCCTGAACTTAAATTTTCATTTTCTGATCCCAGCTTTTAAAGTTGATTGGCATTGATGTTATCAACATTCTTAAATTTGCATTAAAGTTTGCAGGTCCCGTCAACATCCCATCTCTATTGGTGAAATCGGTGATCCTGACAGAAACAATTTATCTAGTTTCGTTAGGCGTAGTTTAGACAGTGCTTTATGGGTGCAGCAAATTAAACTAGAAATAGCTCTTGCTAGTACTGCCCGCAAACAATTAGTTCCTTGATAATGATTGTTTTGAAAATGTAGGTCAGGATATTCGAAGAAGACACCATCTTGGGTTTTCACAATTCTATAAAAACAACTGCTCTAGTTGATGCTAAACTATTCTTTTTATCAAGAATTTTTGGTGTTCAGTTTGCCTTTGATTTAAGTCCAACGCCCTTTTGAAAATCATGAAGTTTTTCGAGGGTTTGACATTTATTTTTCGATAATCACGACAATCATAACTTTTGCTCGTACGGTCTCGAGTTTTTGGGAGAAAAGTGTGGCATTCGACTGGTTTTGATTCCCAAAACTGCGAATCAAAACTTCCATCCATTGCGGAGAACAGAGCTGTGATGCAGCACCGTTTTCGTGCCAAAAAACCGAAGGCCTTTAACAGAGTCTTGGCAGAGCAACGCTCCGAAGATAATTCCCTTCCGCACAAAGAGGTGGCGGTTAACGACCTCCTCGACAAAGCCGATTGATTGACAATGAAATTGATTGACAGTTGTCATGGCAGCAGAAAAGTGACAAAATCTGCTGAAAAAGTGCTGACAACATGAACTGAAGCTTCCATATGCTACTTATACGCGGGGCAGACTATAAGCCCTTCACTCGCGCGCTATCGCGCGCGAGTTGCGGGCAATAATTGTCCATAAAATATTGTGAGTGTCAATTTAATGCGCTCTCAATACGCTGACTAAATCCGAGAGCGAAGCAAATAATTGAATTCGCTCATAATGCGCTCACTTGGGCGCACTATCAGCGCGTTATGAATCAAAATATGAATCAATTCAATTCGCTTCGCTGTCTAAAAGCAAACAATGAATTGAAGAGTGCTACGGGCGCATTTTGAACGCATCTAATTGAATTTAATTCGCTGCGCCCATAACACGCTGTCTAAACTACGCCTTAGTTAACGCTTTACATTAATTTATATATACATTCTTTTTATTCCTCTCTACCTTCTTCTCATTTCATTTTCAAATTTTGGTTTTTCAAATTGAATTGGTTCATATTTGTTTGTTTTTCTAAACTATGTCAAATTCAAAGGCATAAGTGTCAAGTGTTGCACAGTATCGATTGTTGGCCTCTTGGAATTTTTTGACCTTTAACCTCTGGACTTACGACCCTTAACCTCTGATATAAGCTTTCATTGTCCCCCTCATTCAATTCCTTTTACTTCTGGCCTGATACAGGAATACAAGAGGTATATGACTGCAGAAGCGAGTTCCAACACTCAGATTCTGCCAAGCAGTAAGTGAAGTAAAACTTAAGTAAGTAAAACTTAATGCAGGGTTTTCATTAACTTTTTAAAGTGGCAGGCTCACACTTAAAAGTAAGCATCTATAAGACTACTTAAGTTTGAGCAGTCTTACTGAAGTTAGGGTGAAAGTAAGCAGCAGAGGTTTGATGAGTAAGCGGCGGATCTTTGCCGGTTGATGGCTTTTAATGAAATCCTTGATAATATTAAAGACTCATTGCTAACAATGAGCCATTGTGCTACACAAGCATCCCATAATGCATTTTCAGACAGTTTGAATCCATTTTTGGTTAATCCGTAAAGTTTACTGCCATTGTTTGGACCCTCGCCATGCTCGCAAAGCCCCATTGTTAGCAATGAGTCTTTAATCTACAAGAAGCTCTAATGAAAAAATCAACAATTTATGACCTTCCAAGAGACAAAACAACTCACCTCCTTTTCTGATTCAAACAATACTTGATCATATTCACTAAGAGCAACAAGAAATATAATGGACGTAACATTTTCGAAGCAATGTATCCATTTTCTACGTTCAGATCTTTGGCCTCCTACATCAACCATCCTAGAATATGAACAGAGCTTGTCAGAAAGGTACCATTTAATAACATGCAATTGACCAGTGGAATAAATGCATTCTGGAAAAGTAATAATCTTAATGTTTAATTTTAAATTTCTAAGGCTATCAGAAACATCCAAAAAAAAATTAGCCAAGAAAGGATAATGACGAAGCTCTAGGGATCTCTTGATGAACAAAGCTTGTCAGAAAATAACAATTCAAAGTATGTAATTGGTCAATGGAATAAAATCAATCTGGAAAATATGGACTATTTGTTAGTTAGAGTTTGTCCCTAAAATCCAGCGGTTACAATCTAAATTGAACAGATCTTGTCAAAAAAGCCACTATTTAAAGAAACATAACTTGTCAATGGAATATAATTTTCTAGTAATTGTGGACTGCTGACTAGTTAATGTTTATACCTAGAAAATAAAACATTCTAGACATTGAACAGATCTTGTCACAAAAAGATTTGCTGAGCCGTCAAAGAAAGTGACATTATTAGAACCAATAAATAGGAATTTTCTGTCTAGAGTTGAAAGATGACTTCATTCAAATCTATTTCTAATTTTGACTTCATAACTGCAAAGAATCCTATAGAGTCTCTAGACATCCAAACCTGGTTCTGTTGTAGAGATTTTCTTAGATATGGCTGGTGTGAAAGAACTTATTTTGAAATTACTCAGGCCTGGCCCTAAGACTTTTAACAGGGGAGCAGTAAACAGCTTCCCTAGAAGTATTCAGGTGAGCTATAAGAATAGAAACAAAGGAAAAATTGATTTCAAGGAGAGCAAATTTGCTTTTTAGAACAATTTAGGAGAGCAATCTCTAGCTCCCCTCCAGCGTTTGAGGAGAGCCTGGAGGGGAGCAAGAGCTATGGCTCTCCTCAAATGGCCAGGCCTGGATTACTGTTGAACTGGCCTCATTAACAGATTTTAGAACGTTAATTAGCATGGATGTACCAAAACATGACAAAAAACCAAGGAACAAAAAAAAAACAAAGAAACAACCAGAACACAGAGAAACAGACAAAGTACAAACAAAGAAACAAAGAAACAACCAGAACACAGAGAAACAAACAAAGTACAAACAAAGTACAAACAAAGTACAAACAAACAAACAAACAAAGTGCAAACAAACAAAGTGCAAACAAACAAAGTGCAAACAAACAAAGTGCAAACAAACAAAGTGCAAACAAACAAACCTGAAAATGATGGTTTCAAGATCAAATGGGTATTCGATTATGCCAGTGGTTGGTGCCCTTGCTCGTAAAACATCTTGCTCATTTGGAACATAACTTGTAGTTGCTATTCGGTTTATATCAGTAAGATAACTGCAAAGTAAACAGATGTGATGATCAGCTTAGGCAAAACATTTGGAAATACAGACCCTGTTTACATTGTCCCATGCAAGTTTGGAATCATAACAAAACTGTTTCGGTTTGCCCTTCCGTTTACATTAGGATTGTGGAACAGAGACAATTTTGCTTTGCTATTTGGAACAACTTTATACCGCCAAGACTTTGTTTTTGAAGGGCACATTGTTTGAAAAACAGCTTACTCTGAAAACATTGTTTATTCTCAAGCATAGCTAACTGCAAGACACAGTTCATAGTGCAAGACTGTTAACAAGACACTTGAAAGTTTCATAGCGAAAGATTGTGATAAATTTATGCACCGGATACTCTCAACTGAAGCGTTCTGAAACACAGCTCCCTGTAGAACACAGTTTGCTTTGAATTCCTGGCAAAAAAAGTTTTACATGACTTACTACTTAGCAGAATCTGACAGCTGGAACTCCCTTCTTCTGTCATATGCCTCTTGTATTCCCTTATCGTCCCACAAAGACTGGATCATCTGTGCATAGTGGTCGTCTAGACTTGTCACTGTTTCATGGTTCACATTCAGAACCGTCATAGCATATTGCTGCAAAAATAGGATTTGAAAATATTTTGCTTTCTGGATGACTTAGCTGTCTGTATTTAAGTAAAAAAGAAAACACATTTAGGACAAATTTTAGACATATTAATAGCTTATTGTGATATTTGGTGTAAAGAACAAGACGATTCTAAGCTGCTACTCTAAGATTCTTTCTTAGTGGGACCATTTTAGGCAATGTTAACAGCCATCTATTAATGAGGACGGAAAGCCTAGCTATATGGGGAAAACTCCTGTGGACCAGTGGCAGCGCCAGGGGGTGATATGGGGGGTAATTACCCCCCACTTTTTTCGAAACATGGTCTACATATTTTGTCTAAAAATGGGTTAAAAAGCACTAGGTAGGGATAGATCATATTTCCTAAGGAAACTTGATCTGGTACAAAGCACTGAAACGAGGCAATTAGGGCGTGGTCTCACTGGCCACGCCCATTACCCTCCCACTCAGCAGTAGCTGGTGCCGCCACTGCCGTGGACTCGTGATTCTGAGCAAGAGTTGGCGGCTCAGTGATAGCGGTAACAGATTACAGACAGAAAGGTCTCTGGTTTCAGATGCTGGCAAGGCAGCCACATTTATAAATTTTAAGGCATAGGTAGAAATTAGGTGTGATCACATTGCGTTGAAGGACTACAAGATTGCTTGATTATCAAGGGGCTGTGATAGGTTTTGAAATAGGAGGGGGCTTTGAAGTCTGCCAAATGAAGGTCACTTCATCAAGTATTGGGGAAGCAAGCCTATTGTTTTGATAAGATGACATCACAATTGTCAATCTTTTAGAACAAAGATTACTGTCTTTCAAAATACTGGGGGGAGTTGTCTGATACTGTTTCTGCTCAAACCCGTTAGCCCCCCCCCCTGCCATTTTGACCTTTATTAATAACAATAGCTCCTTAGTATTCTAAAACTTAACTTTTGCAGCTAGGTAGGAGCAAATTCCAAAAATCAATCTTTGACGAACCTCATGTGGGTCAGGCTTTGAATATGGTATTTTCAGCATGTCCATGGCACGGGTGAGCGCTTGGATGGCCTGAAAAATGTTTTGGTACACCAGCTTGCTATAGCCCCTTCGGTCTTCCTCTGTGTATCCTTGGCCATGAATAATTCTCATCTGTTTGATAAACGTACTCTTGCCAGACTCTCCAGTCCCTGGAAAAAAGACGACAAAATTGTAAGTTACCAACAACATAACACAACAAGATGAAATGATTTTGAAATAAAATATTACATATGGTTTTGAAAAAAGGAACGTTTTGAGTCATACTTAAGCTTTTCGTTTGACACCCTAGAGAGTGTGAAACATCAGAAAATAGATCAAAAACTCTGTGCTAGATCGCTCATTGATAAAAAAGACGGAATCTATCTACATAAACTTGACAAAACCGCTGTTGTGTAGACAGGGGGAGTTTGTTATCACCTTAGGACTCCATTGGTAACACTTTCTGTAGGCACGCAGCACTGATTGGACAACTATGCAGCTAACAGGCTTGCATTTTATCTGATTGGCCCATTTCGATCCACTAATGTTAAGTATAGACTACTTTAGGAGGGGGCATTTCAGAGGTGGCATCAGCCACTAAGCTTTGGGGGGAGAGACAAAACAAACAATTTTATGCAACATCTTTTTTACTGTCAGAAAAGGCCTGTTTGGCAACAAGGGATGCCAATTGTGTCAGAAAGGAAAGTCCATGATCAACTTTTGAATACGTAGAGGCAGTTTCAAAACCAAAAGATTACATCACAAATTGGGATGGCTCACCCACTTTGTCAGCAAATTGGAATTTGAAACCCATGTTAAACACAATAACTGGTAGCGGGCCTGAAATTGCTCTGTCTAATTCCAGAAAAAACCCTTCTTTTACTTTTAATTGACAACCGTGTTTAGCCCTGTTTTAACATGATGTTTTGATGTTTAATAATACTAAATTTGTTTAAACTAATGATAAATTAAAAACCAAAGAAACAGCTAATTGATAAAAATTTAATTGTTGGTCTTTGTTAGATTGTGGCTGTTTCTAAACATAAAGAAGTCAAACTTTGCATTCATATCAGTTTGGTCATACCAGGGACTCGAGCCACGGACCCTTGGGTCTGTAGTCAGCGCCTTCAACAACTGGGTCATGATTCCTATGTTTGGAATTACAGAGAGCTGGTGACTCTCTTCCCTCTAGTCAAAAGTTTGGTCAAGGCAGGAACTGAAACCCCAGACCTTTGGACCTCTAGTCCATTACCTTAGCCACTTACCCATCCTTGCACTTTCAAGAGGTTAGACTAAGATCATAAACTGTTTATCTGTAAAGTATTTAACAGGCCTGGCCATTTGCGGAGAGCCATAACTCTTGCTCCCCTCCAGGCTCTCCTCAAATGTTGGAGGGGAGTTAGAGATTGCTCTCCTAAATTGTTCTAAAAAGCAAATTTGCTCTCCTTGAAATGAATTTTTCCCTTGTTTTTATTCTTATAGCTCACCTGAATACTTCTAGGAGAGCTATTTACTGCTCCCCTGTTAAAAGTCTTACGACCAGACCTGATTTAACCTTAATTTCATCAACAAGGCCAAAATCCAAGATAGCACATTATTAACTACACAAAATTTTATGTGACACAGTAATACACCTTGAAGGAAATAAACAAAAATATCTTTAGATGTCTAGCCTTCATTTTAAAGAAAACGTTGAGACAAAAATTACTGATTTTAATCTTAAAATACATTTCATAACAAGCAAATACATTTTTCAAGTACCAGTGTTTTAAGCATGATTTATTTGGTCAAGCTTTCATTGTGAGTGTGAAATAAAAGGCCTCCAAGTCTCATGCACATTTCTCTTCCACAGAGACATCCGAGGACATTTTTGAGTGACGGGGGGGGGTGGGTGCTCTAGACAAGTTTGCAAACTTAAGTTTGTCCCACATTATCTTTGATGCCACTACCTGAAAAACATAGCTTAGTAAAAAAGTGAGGGGTTTACAGCCCCCAGGCCCTGACTCAGGTGTGCTTGTTCCATTCTACATAAAATCCCATATGCATTGCCACTGATGGCCAAATTGCCATCAGTTGGGTGGGGTGGATTTTAGCTCATATGTGTAGCAAAACAGGGTTGGTGCCGTCCATATGGGTCTCCAAAATGTATTGAAAGGGGTTAACTAGACTGTCAAGAAACCTTAAAACCCTTCCTGAACAAAACAATATTTGCCAGTTGACAATATTAGAATTCTCACACTGAGTATTTTCCCTATACTTTGGCTAGCACACCCCCATCATTCTTTCTTTCAAGTTACCTTCAGGTTCTCTTCCCCTTGCTTAGTACAGTTGTGGATTAATATTCTTGTTTATAACTTAAGATTCTAAATATATACTTTCTTCATTATCAATAATCTTGCACTCTTATAAGAGTCCTAAATTCAGAAAAATCAGCATCGAAAAATTATTCCTGAAATAAGGTAAAAGATGGTGGCTTCTTGAATAATTATCATTCAATTCTTAAAATGGAATTAGTTACATTATGAGGCCGTCTAGACCACAGAGGCCCTAGGACTAATTGCCCCTCTTGTCCCCCCTCTCAAGGGCCTTGGTAAGAACTAGCCAGCTTTTCCAGTTGCCATTGTCTACTTTAAATTCAATTTGAATACACACTACATTTTAGAGTGAAATAACAATTAAAGGCATTGAGTCATAGTAAATAGGCCTTCTCTATAAGGGGTCATTTGGCTTCAGGGTGATCCCTGCTGTTTGCATGTGATATCCGCATCCGTTGTTGACATCTTTCAATTTATGGATATTGTTTTGTCAATCAGTACGAGGTGAGTTCATGTGACCAGTTCCAGGTCAACCAATGGCATTGCAGCACGAAAATGATGACTTAGCAGATTTGGGTACGTTTGGGTAAACCATATCCATTTTATCATGACTCAATGCCTTTAATCCATTACATAGAAAATATTTACAAACAAAATACAAAAAAATGTCAAAAAGTATTTCAGAGGAGGAACTCTCCAATATATTATTATGTTAAGGAGTTAAAGTAATATATAACTTAATAGAAGTTAAAGTTAAAGTTAAATACAAAACATAATGAGTTTTGAACAAACTTGTTTTTGAAAATTTTAACATCAATCCTACCGAGTGCCTAAAAATTACAACCCTACAAAATAATTATTTGATGAGCAAAAATCAGAAATTAGGCTTCTTTTCTGTTACTTGATATATATAAAACAATTTTGTTTAAAAATTGCAGTTGCAACAACCTGTTTTCCAATCTTCAGCCAACCTGAATATTAAGCAGTTGCCATGGCAACTAGTTGTTGTCAAACTGCAGTGCATTGAAGTTGTTGGGCAGCTGATCATATTTTTGAAAACATTTATAATGTTGCTTGGGCTGGTTAATGAAAGAAACCTATTAACTTCTTTCCATAGGGAGATAAAATGAAAAACAGTTTCTTGTGTGAACAATCTTTTGGCAGTACAAAATTTTGAAAATAATAACATAATAAAAATTTTGAAATAATAACATAATATAATAATAATAATAATAATAATAATGGAAATTTTTCATTTTGAATTCCAGTTAAAACTACAATTACAAATCTCACTATTACAAGGTAATTTGTAACTGGCTAGCCTGTTTTTACAAAATAAGACTATTACAATCGTAGTAAAGAAAAAAAATTATAATAATAATAATAAAACCATATTTATACAGGTAAACTTGTTCAGCAAAAATGAGTTTGTCCAACGATATAAATGTTCCAACAATATAGTTCAAACGACTTTCAAAAAAGGAAACATTTGACACCATACTGAAAGCTTTTCGTCTGACACTCTTTGATGTATAAAACTTTATAATATGGTTTTGTGAAGGCATGCTGTACCGACATTTGTTAGTTTGGCCATAATTCTAAAAAATTACCATTGGAACTTTTTCTTATTCTATTTGATTATTGAATTTAATTTTAATCTAAATCATCCTATCTAACAGACAGTCTATGTGCTTCTTAGGTCCCAAAATCACAACACCTTTTTTTAGTTTGAAACCAATATGAAATTTTCTAGCGCCTTTGAATGCTTGAATGTAAAATTTACAGGACTTTCAGGTAAAAGCTTCTGCTCCTTCACTAATTGCTCATGGTGTGAAAAGCTATGTAAGTAAATTTTTTTGGTGAATTTTTCATCATGGGAAAGTGTTTTGTTGTGAAATGATGAGGGTGATTTTAAAAGGCAATGAAATGATTTCAACAAGAATTAGATAAATTGCCAGAGAAATGCCTAGACAAAATATAAAATTTCGACTTTGTCCTTGAGGTTTTGAAAGAAACGCATGTTAAAATTCAGTTATATAACTGAATGTAAGTGAATTATAATAGTCAGTTAGTATGAGATGTTCATTTCTTCTGTGCAATTTTGATACTTTCCATTCTAAAGACATTTTCGGCACGGATTTCATTAGAAGCCGGCAACCAGCAAGCCCAGCACTTACTCAATTAACCTTTGCCACCTACTTTACCCCTCACTTTAGTAAGACTTCACAAACTTTAGAAAATTTTTAGATGACTACTTTTAAATATGAGTCTTTCACTTCCAAAATAAATGAAAACCCTGATTTTGAAGTTCCTGTTTTACTTGAAAACAGATCATTTTTAAATAAGCTTATCGCTGTACCTGGAATCACACTGCTTACAAATTACTTAAAGGCATTTGACATTTTTACAGCGAATCCAAAAATAACTTAGGCCAAATTGATCAGAGCACGCCCACAAGAAAGGAATTGGAAACTGCTCACATGAAACCACTGCCCGCTGCTCTAGGATTTCGCCGATTTGCAGAAAGGCAGAAAATGTTCACATGTTTTTCTCTGTGTGCAATTTGATTGGTCAACCGTTTGTGGTTGAGTGGCTGTAAGTCACTTTAACCTGTGTCAAATGCCTTTAACAACTCTACAAGGATGATACCATGAGGAGCAAAAATCTATGACTACCCCATGAAGTTAAATAATGGTTTATTATTAGTTATGGTTGTTTTCTAGGTCATTTTCAGAAGACTTTTCTTAAACATGTGAGAATGATCAAAAATCCATTTTTCTGTATAAAACTGATTTGTAGGAATGGAGGGGTGTGGTGTGGTTTTACAGGAAATAGCAGAATGGAAAGTTAACCTAACCTGTTTGGCAGGGTTTTTCGTTTCACGCAAGCGATCACTCCCGATCGCATCAGCACTTGTGCAAACCCAACCAGTTTGATTGCTTGGGCAAAAGGGTAAATTGTGAGGAATAAATGTTTCATCCTTAACACATTTCTAGTCATTTTCAACCGCGAATGTTTAGGAATAAGTTAGGTTCTTAGTATTTCAACTACAATAGCACTTGAAGCTTTTAACTACAATAGGACATTTACTAGGCAGTTGAAGCGTTTTTAAGAAAGGTTTGAAAGAACACTTTGTGATCATCCGTCAATAACATCTTCGTAATGTATATGTGACCTTCATGGTATACGTAAAGTTTATAAACGAAGCACATTTTTATTGAGAATCTAATCTTTCTTGGAGTGCATTCAAGGTCAATGTAACGTTTTCATTTGAATTTACCTCCAACAATTGGTCATCTTATAAAAGGATCTCTTGCCCAATTTCTTACGAAAAGGCCTGCGGCTTAGTCAACCATTTAAAAATAGAAATTGTGGCATATTGGCATAGGTTTCTCAATAATCCTTCAAAAGAACAAAAAAGTGGTCTTGTGATCAGGTTTTAACATTTATATAAAGGTTTCCTGGCACTTTAGTGGTAAAACCCTCAACATACATTTGCTTGCGTTTCTGATTGGCTTATTTCGATCCACAACTGGGTATATATATTTCCTAGCTTAGAGTTTTCGTTCTGACCATGTAAACGCTGAAGAGTGTCAGACGAAAAGCCAAAGTATTTTCTGAAATACTTTTTTTAAAGCAATTTTTAAATTCTGTACCACAAAAGATTGTTTGAAAATAAAAGCATTTATGTCATGCCCTTTGGTGATAAACAGAGACATTTCATTGCAATGCAGACGTGCAAAGGCGTGGTTTTCTCCTACAATCACTGCCAAAAGTCTTGGAACACTAACGTAGGTTTTCAAAGGCAAATTCAGCCATCCCCCTCTCCCCCCCCCCAGGAACAATGTTGATTTACTATAGAAAAAAAAGGGGTTATGGAGTACGCTTTTTCTTGTGGATTGTTTGATATTTTTCTATACTTTCAACATTGTTTTGGGGGAAAAGGGGGGCGGAAGTGGTAGTATTCAAGAAAACAAATGAAAAATAGAAAAGCACAGCGCAAAATGTTAGGTGTTCCAAGTAATTTTGGCAGTGATTGTAGGGGGAAATTTTCAAGTTGTAAAGCAGGCTAGAATCAAATGGCACATAACAAAGACTACATTGGACAGTAGTGGCATCAATGTAAAAGTGCTTTTAGAGAAACATTGACATCCGAGCATCAGTATCATGAAGGCCCACACTTAGGTGCCCTGGTAGGACACATCACTATAGGGGGGTAAGCGGGGTGTGACACTCCTCTTGAAAAAAAATTATATAGTAATGTATATATAGTCTGAAAAGTTTCAAAATCAACTTTAAGCACAAAATTAATGGCCCCCAAACATTTTGGCCTCAAGTGGCCCCCAAAATGCTTCTCGAAAAAAGGGTTTTTGGATGAAATCATATGTTTCTTTGTGACTTTCACAGCAGTACTGAAATTAACGTAAGACTGGCAAATAAAACCTGGTTAAACCACTTTGTCGGCAAATGGGACTTGGAAACCCCCCTTGAGCACAACAGCTAGCAACGGACCTGGCCCTAGTGATACATGTATGCAGTAATACCCCAACCCTTGATATACATATAACTCAGGACTGTACACTACAGATTATGTTCACAAAACCAGTACTAATAAATAAGAAAATATTCCATTGTTAAAATATTTTAGCTATTAGTGTTGTTATGCAGGATAGAGAATTGTTAAATTATAATTAGGAATGATTGATAATAGAAATTAATTGAACAAAATACTCCCAAGGTGGCTGCAAAATGGCCCTGTTTGCCATTGATCACAAAGGAGTTTAAAGGTTTTTCAAAACAGGAGGGGCTTTTGGGAACATCATCCGCTTGCATAAATCAGAAAAAATCCGTCTAAATCCGGATTTGATTTCTGGATTCACAAAGCAGAGAGCTTCGACAAAAATAAGTATATTCTTTTGGGTTTGGTTTCAAATCCTCCGTTCATATTTTACATAGTTACTGCCTTTTTAAATTTTTCAATAGTTAAATGCTGACACGGAGATTGCTAATTTTACGCAATCTGTTTCTAACGGTAACAGATCCAAACTCCCAATTGCCAAACACTTGAGAGCTTTAAAACCTTCACGAATCTTATTTTTGGTATCGACGATGAAATATTATGCACCGAAACCTATTTCCTACTTGCAGAATCAGAAAATTTGAAGAGATAAACAAAATATCGGTTGTTTAGGCCAGTAACTTGAGATCTGCAGTTGCCTTGTTCTAACACAAACATTTCCCGAAGTTACACCGAGCTTTGTCAATAAAAACTCTGCGAAAGATTTTTTATAGCTTTCCCAACTTGTTTAGGACACAAAAGCGTGAAGAAAACAGCTAGAAATAATTTTTTTCCTGCAAACACACACGCTTGCCGTCTCAAATAGAACTCAAGGCGAGAAACTAGTGGGAGAGAAGGACTGATTTTAAACTGACGGGGTCCAACTACAAAAATACCGCCCATTACCAGCCTAGGAGTTGCCGAATAAAATTTTTCTTGACTGAATTCTAACGAGCAAAACATGAAATAAAGTTAGAACGATAAATTGATTCAGGGCTGAACCGCGTCATTTGGTTATGGAAAAAAGCAACATTCAAGTTTTGATGTCTAAAAATGGCCGCCAGAACATCTGACCTTTTGGAATGATCAAGCAAAAAGTTCAAACGCTAGAGACTTGCAAAACTAGCTGAAAACTTCGTTATTTAGACGGCTAACTTACCGAGTAAAAGCAACTTCAATTCACGTCTTGCATCTCGTCTGTCACGGCGAATTTGCCTCTCAATTTCATCATTTATACGCTTCTGCTCTTTAGCCTCTTCAGAAAGACAACACTCGCCAGGCATTATGCTTTGTATAAATTTTCCCAGCTCGCGAGTAACTTTTACATGAAAAATTCTCCTACAGCACAGCCTTGGAAACTTCGAGGTTTGCCTGACCTCAAACTGGCATCGTTTCTGCAACAGCGATGTCTTTTGCGAAGATATACAGCCTAGATTTTACGCGAATATTGACAGGGCGTAGTCGAGAATTATGAAGACATTTGCACGAGTCGCCAACAAGAGAAAAAGCCTTCGCTCTTCGAGGGGGGAATGGGCCTAGACTTGTTTTTCATATGCGCCTCCGCAGCGACAACAGGAACCTCCCTAAATTTGCTGCATGATTTCGTGAATTTAGAAACAAATTTAATATTTCAATCTATGAACCTACAAATTTCAACCATTAATCTATAAAATCATTATTATTGGCAATGAAATGCCTAGCTAAAGCTCAGGGTTTTATTTGACAATTTTAATATCAAATCTAACGAGCTCTTAAAATCAAATACTTTTCAATCTCCTGCAAAGGTGGCTCCCTAAATTTGCTGCATAATTTTGTGGATTCAGAAAAAATTTAATATTTCAATCTATGAACCTTCAAAATTCAACCATTAATCTACAAAATAACGATGATTTGCAATGAGGTATAGAGCTAAAGCTCAACCTCTCAACAGGCCTCCAAAGCGACAACAGGAACCTCCCTAAATTTGCTGCATGATTTCGTGAATTCAGAAAAAAAAATTTAATATTTCAATCTATGAACCTTAAAATTTCAACCATTAATCTACAAAATAACGATGATTTGCAATGAGGTATAGAGCTAAAGCTCAACCTCTCAACAGGCCTCCAAAGCGACAACAGGAACCTCCCTAAATTTGCTGCATGATTTCGTGAATTCAGAAAAAAATTTAATATTTCAATCTATGAACCTTCAAATTTCAACCATTAATCCATAAAAACATGATTATTTGCAATTAGATATTTAGATTTAACTAAGGGTTTCAACAGGCCTCCACAGCGACAACAGGAACCTCCCTAAATTTGCTGCATGATTTCGTAAAATCAGAAAATAATTTAATATTTCAATCTATGAACCTTCAAATTTCAACCATCAATCTATAAAAACATGATTATTTGCAATTAGATATCTAGCTTTAACTCGGGATTTCAACAGACCTCTAAAGCGACAACAGGAACCTCCCTAAATTTGCTGCATGATTTCGTGAATTCAGAAAAAAATTTAATATTTCAATCTATGAACCTTCAAAATTCAACCATTAATCTACAAAATAACGATGATTTGCAATGAGGTATAGAGCTAAAGCTCAAGGTTTCAACAGGCCTCTAAAGTGACAACAGGAACCTCCCTAAATTTGCTGCATGATTTCGTGAATTCAGAAAAAAATTTAATATTTCAATCTATGAACCTTCAAATTTCAACCATTAATCCATAAAATCATGATTATTTGCAATGAGGTATAGAGCTAAAGCTCAAGGTTTCAACAGGCCTCTAAAGTGACAACAGGAACCTCCCTAAATTTGCTGCATGATTTCGTGAATTCAGAAAAAAATTTAATATTTCAATCTATGAACCTTCAAATTTCAACCATTAATCCATAAAAACATGATTATTTGCAATGAGATATCTAGCTTTAACTAAGGGTTTTAATTGACAATTCTCATATCAAATCAAAGACTTGTTAATCTCCTGCAAAGGTGGCTTCTTAAATTTTCGGCATAATTTTGTGGATTCAGAAAAAAATTTAATATTTCAATCTATGAACCTTCAAATTTCAACCATTAATCCATAAAAACATGATTATTTGCAATTAGATATTTAGATTTAACTAAGGGTTTCAACAAGCCTCCACAGCGACAACAGGAACCTCCCTAAATTTGCTGCATGATTTCATAAATTCAGAAAAAATTTAATATTTCAATCAATAACTTTTCAAATTTCCGTAACTAATCTACAAAATAACGATGATTTGCAATGAGGTATAGAGCTAAAGCTCAAGGTTTCAACAGGCCTCTAAAGCGACAACAGGAATCTCCCTAAATTTGCTGCATGATTTCGTGAATTCAGAAAAAAATGTAATATTTCAATCTGTGAACCTTCAAATTTCAACCATTAATCCATAAAATCATGATTATTTGCAATTAGATATCTAGCTTTAACTAAGGGTTTCAACAGGCCTCCAAAACGACAACAGGAACCTCCCTAAATTTGCTGCATGATTTCGTAAATTCAGAAAAGAATTTAATATTTCAATCTATGAACCTTCAAATTTCCATAAATAAAGTTTAAAATCATTATTATTTTCAATAGCATATCAGACTAAAATTAATTAGCATTCGCGAAGAAGCTAAATAACAAAATAAATACAAAACTTATTTATTTTTTGCAAAGGTCTTTAAATTTGCTGCATGGTTTTGTAATTTCAGAAAAAAATTAATATCGCAATTTATTATTTCTTATATTTCCAGCATTAAGCAACAAAAGAAGAATTTTTTGCAGTGATATATCGAGCTAAAACTCGCTGTTTCAATCGACAATCAAATGAACTACTAAAAACGAGCGAACATTCGGGGAAAAACCCGGCGGGCTCAGTCAGTTGGTCAAACCTAAATCATGTGAGTTCCGAATAACTCTGAAACTCTGAAAGCTAGAATTCTGGGAAATAGAATCTTGAAAAAGAGCCGCAAAAGGGTAAATTTACTAATATAATGTTACAGATATTTTTTTGTAAATCAAATCAATGGCTATTGAAGTACCGTAATGCCTCGAACAAGCACCCCCCTCAAATAAAAGCCTCCTCGAATAAGTGCCCATCCTTCATCCTTCAGGCTAATTCGAATTTCCAACGAAAACATAATTGGAAGGCAATTCAACACGAAAGATTAATGAAGACTGCAATTTGCACCAAAATCTACTTTTTAAATAAGCGCCCCCTCGATTAAGCGCCCCCTCGAATAAGCGCCCATCCTGGAGCCTCAAACATTAAATAAACGCCCGGGCGCTTAGTCGAGGCATTACGGTACCACGAATTTTGCAGCAGCATCTAGTCCTGTCTATTGTTCAAATTCTAGATAAGAAATATAAGTCTTTGCTTTAGTCTTTGCTAGTTTGCACTCACTTGGAAGATATTATTTGGAATTTTGCACAGCTTTTCATTTTTTCATAAAAGACATTGAACACAGCTTTGTGAAGTAAGCAATATCTTGCATTTATAGGTTTAGAGCTAACTTATTTTGTTAATTTATATCAAGAACTACAAGAGATCGTTGTTTAAAACAGTAATTCTGCTCTTTAAAATGCCTTCCGACATATTAAGAAATAGAATGGATTTTACATGAATTGGTATCAATATAATATATCAATAAAACAATCTATGATTTTTCAAATTCTTACAAATAAACTACAAAATCGTGATTATTTGCAATGAGATATAAGGTTGAAACTTGCGGTTTTAATTGATAATTGTCCAATCAAATCTAGCGAACTGCTAAATACAAACGAACAATCATGGGCCCTGATACAGGTTGGAAAATGGAGGGGGGAGAGAGGGAGGAAATTTTTAACAATCATAGCAAAAAATTTTGAAAAAAGCTAAGTTGTTTTTCAAAAAGTATTGGATCACAGCCCCTCTTTGTCGAAAGCCTTGACATTTGGGGGAAAATTGAATTCCAAAATAATGTAAAAGACTTGTTTCTGTTCTGAAAAGGGCTCTTGTTGTGAACTAGGGTCATCATCACGTTTGGCTCTTTGTTGGCCTCTTGTTCAATGCTGCCATGTCATTGATCTCATGTATTTGTTGTGATTTAGGTCATAGTACAACTCCCCAAAGGGCTCGTCACCAGTCCACATTTTATCATAGTCAGCTAACTTACATGACGTCATACGAACTATGGCAACCTAATCCATGCGTGTGGTAATATGACATCTTCGCATTTGTAAAACTACGAAGTTTTACGGAAGTTCTTCTTCACATAAAGTACAACAATTCAATTAGCAGCAACAGTTTTTATATAGAAAAATCAACAGTTCGGTAATTAAACATCCAAAAAGCAACGGCTATCCGAACATCTAAAATCACGTCTACACTCTACCGACTGAATTAAACGACAACTTCAACTCGACTGGACTTGCACTGAAAAAACATACGATTTTAGCAACACGAGTGACGCACACAAAATCCTAATGACACAAATTAACGTCAAATGGACTAATAACAACTAAAATAAAGATGGCACAATGACAAACAAAATGACTGACGCAAACATCGAAAGACATTCAAAATGTGAATAGAAAAATTTCAAAAAGCATTGGCATCCTAAGTAAAGTAAGACATTTTGCACCGCAAAAAATATTGCTTGACATATAAAATGCTTTTGTATTCCAAACATTCTTTATGGGCTCTTAAACTGGGGTAGTGCCTCTAAAACTGCCCTAGATCCACTACATAAAAAGTTAAAAAAAGCTGTACATCTCATAACATTCAAAAATAAGGCCGAACATAGTAAACCAATTTTTAAATGCCTAAACACTTTAAATTTTGAAGACTGTTACAAACTCAGGTGGGCTAAATTTATGTATGATATTAACAAAAGTATAGCCGAAACTTCTATCAGTGAACTCTTTAAAAAAGCCAAAAATACTCATAATTACAGAACAAGATGATATGCTAGCTCAGGAAATTTACTAAACCAAGTTTTAGAACAGAATTTGGTAAAAGTTTCATAAAAAATGTTGGTGTAGATGTTTAGAACTCCATTCTACAAGACATCAGACAATCAGGATCAAAAATAATTTTTGCTAAAGCCTTGAAAAAAATTATGATCTCAATATACTAGTACCCCCTTCCACTACATATGCTATAGTATTGCCACGCAAAGAAAGACAAAAACTCTAACAAAGTTTTAAAAGCATTCCACCACCTTTTTTTATCCCCTTTTTAATTTTTGCCCCCTTTCTCACAAACAAATAGATTAGATTTACGTTTTAACTATCATATTCGAAACCAACTTTTCTACTTTTCAAATTTTTTATTTCTAGTTTAAAAAAATGTTATTGTTGTTTATTAATATTGTGTATTGATTTATAATTACTTCAGGCAAAGTTCACGTAAGATGGCACATGGCTCGAAAGCCCCTATGGGTTATTTCCATGTGTCATTCAGCTATAACTTTATAGATACAAATAATTATTTGAAATATCTTTCATTTAAAATAATTATTTTAATAATTATATGTATTGAAGTATAACTGAAATCGTATCTTGTTAAATTGTTTGATTAGATCAGTATATTGAAATTATGCCGAGAATACACATGAAAAAAAAACATTCTCAATAACAATAGCGAACCACAAACACGATCCACGACAGACAAAACTAGTTGTATTCCAACATTCCAACCTTAAAGCAACTCAATGGCGGAACTTGTGGGGGGTGGGCAATTTGTCGGCAAATCTGAGACTTTGTCGGTAAATTCAAATCTGGCTTTGGTTGAAACAAACTCATGGCGAAAGTTTTCGATGGCAAACCTTGGCTGTCTAAAAATAGGTTACAAAAAATCTTAACTGTATTCACTCTACCCATAATCGTTCACAAAAGTCGTGAGACTGCTATTCCTTCCCACCTCACAATAATGCACAATGTTTGGCTTATTTTACCCAAATAAAACCTCTCGAAATTATTTTTCTAAACCATTCGTAATTTTGACTTAGGCTCCAGAAAGACGTACTCGTTGCTTAACCCTGCCACCGTCCCCTTCCCTCCCCCGCCCCCTTCAAGCAATGTTGTTTGTTGAGATTTGGTGAAATAGTTGCAAATCGTGTGTGCAAAGACCATATATAAATAATAACAAGATCTCAACAATATTGCTCGAAGGGGGAGGGGGATCAAATACATTTCTAGTATTTTTATGTCAATAAATTTGTCTGGATTTTATTATTGGTCTCAATATATTTTGTGAAGGATTGCAGGCTCAACCTAGGCTCGATTGTATACTGTAATGTGAACATAAGCCCTCGGTTTCAAAGATCTATGACGTCATGTACGTTAGCTGACTATGATCTAGTGCCGACCAACGATGAGAGTCTCCCAGGGGGGGGGGGGGGGGAGGGTACTTGCTCCCGTGTTTCTTTTGAAAAAAAAACAATGTTGTCATGTTTTCAGTGGAAAATTTGAGTTGCTTCCGTGCTTCTGAACCATTTTTTGTCATGTTCCCCTGTTCCAGGAAAACCCTTGGGAGATCTTCATTGGTGCCGATCTTGGAAAATGTGTGTGATGTGCTGGCATAATGTAACTTTAAGAAAAGTAGTTCTCTCTCCCACTCTCTGTTCTTTTTCACCTTGATTAAATCCCAAGACAAAATAGATCTTCTCCTCTCCTTAAATTTCCTGCATGGCTATGTGGTTTCAGCAAAACAGTAAATTAACATTACACTCTCTTACGGTAGTTCAGATCTGTCTTTTGTGAATATTTCTATGAGTTCTCTTGGCATCTTCGGTAGTACCTGCATTGATCAACAACACACTCTCTCTCCATTGATCAACAACAAAAACAGTATCTGATCTCTAAACTTTTCAACATTGCCATCTGTACTACGTACTACATATTTACAAAAATGGACAAACCCGGAATTACATCCTTTTTAACTTGGCTGTTTTTTCTCAGTTTTCCCCTTTAGCTTATGATTGTTATAATTTTTTTGCTGTAAAACCAGGCTAACCAATTGCAAATTACCTTGTAATAGTAAGATTTGTAATTGTAGTTTAAGTTGAATTGGGAAGGAAATGTTTACATTTTGATTATACTATTCATTTTTAAATTATTTATTTGATTATAATACTTATAAAGAAGTTTCTTTCCAGAACCTTCTCAAAGCAAAAATCACCCACAGTTTATCTGGTTACTTTAGACAAATACAGCGTGGCTATGCACCGGTTAAGGTGTATCCGAAGTAAGCATACAGAGCCTAGTCTCTTTATCAAGCTGAGGTTTTTTGCCTAGACCGCAGTTCAATGAAAAGTAGACCGTCGGTGTATTGAAGATTTTCTGTGTATTGCAGGCTGACACGTGATGATGAACCAGCCAATGGATATAGCCATAGATTCATCGACAACAGGCAGAGACCGCGCACCAGTCTAAATGTGGGAGGGCTGAAAAGGGCGTGACCGAAATTTTTTGAGGCCACGCCCTCTAGAGCGCCGGAAAACTCTCCTTTTAGAAAATACTGGCTTATTTCTACTGTCGTTTTATAAACAATTTGGTTCAGAGAAGATATCAATAGTTTTAAAAATAGTTAAATTAGATTGGGGATAAAAAACATCAAAAAACACCTATAAAATGAACAAAAAGGTTTCCCAGTCAAGAAAAACTGCTATTTCTTAGGAGTTTACTATTTAATGTTGCGTTGGACTATAGTTAGATTACTTTCCATAACTTTCTTTAACTAACTAACTAACTAACATAACTAACTTTCCATAAAGTTTTCTGACGTATTACTGCAAAAAAGTGGAGGGGCTATAGCCCCTGTGAGCCCAATGGCTGCGTGGTGCCTGACAACAGGTACCATTGGGCTAAAATCTACCCTGGATAGCAGAGCCGCAAAAAATGAGATTATTTTTTGTTGCCGTTAAAATTTGCAGCTCTGGTACGCAGGGTAGCTAAAATCATGATTTTAGAAATATGCAGCCATACGATTGGGCTTTTTGAAAGCGATCGATTAAAATTCCTTCCAAAGAAGGAGTCGTTGCGTGAACATGGTTCTAAGGCTCCTCTAGGCTTACAGAAGGAGAGACAATGAAGAAGACAATATGAATAAATTAGACAGATAATTTATTCCATTCACTATAATGTAATTCAATATCAGACTAGAAGATACATCCGCAGAAAAAGTTATTCCTAGTGATGGGTTAGAGGTCTTTACAATTTACATAAAGCCCATGTAGAACTTGTTCAGTTGGTCACCGTGTGCAAAGGCCTGCGCAAAGGCCTTCTTAATTTTCTGTATAGGGTAGAATCTTTAGAGTTGTTGAAAGGAAGTTGTCGCCTGAAATGATCACGAACGAACGGACTATCATAACGAAACGTTGTATTTCATTTATCTCAATCACGAATCATCACAGTCTAAAATGTAACTGTTTGTTTTTATGTCGTCGTATTTTGGCAACCTTTCAGTCATTATAACTGGATTTAATATTTACAATCGTCGTAAATGTTGGAAACTAAGGAAGCAGGACCTTCCGTGTATCCTTACAAGGATGCTCAGCTACTACGCAACAGCCCAATTAGGTAAAGTCAACCATAAAGCTCTGAAGTATGACGTCACAAATCCAGAATGTTTGATGTCATAGAACTTTTGACCAAACAATTCTAAAAAGCATTGTGAAATATCCCTGAAATTCTAAATCCGTTATATCTATATTTATTTAAAATAAGGTAAAGGATGGCCACAGAAAGATTTGAAGTTTGATAACAGATTACTTATATTTTGGCTTGGTTCATTGAGATATGAACAGAGAACAAATTGTACTGATGTGATGGGGCAAGAGCCTGTGCTCCGTTGGCACCAGATTAAATTGACAATTAAAGTCTAAAAGTAATTTATGATTCTTTTTCAGGTCATGAGATCTAAATTCGAAAATTCCAGAGTAGTTTTTGTGACGTCATTACTTGGAACTCTATATAGGTCACCCGATATACAGATTAAAGAGGCCAAAGGTCATACAAGACAAAAAATATTTGCATGGAGACCAGTACCAAAGAAACACCTACAATCACTGCCAAAAGTCTTGTAACACTAACGTCAGTTTTCAAAGGCAAATTCAGTCATCCCCTCTCCCCCTAAGAATAATGTTGATTTACTTTAGAAAAAAGGAAGGGGTTGTTGAGTACGCTTTTTCTTGTGGATTGTTCGATATTTTTCTATACTTTCAACATTTTTTTGGGGGGAAAGGGTGACGGAAGTAGTTTTATTCGGGAAAACAAATGAAAAATTAAAAAGCACAGATCAGTGTTTGGTATTACAGGTAATTTTGACAGTGATTGTAGGAACAAGGACCGCGAAGTACATTACGGATTGATGAGCTTAAACGTTTTTTTCGGGGGGAGGGGGGCTTAAACCAAAAAAATGACGACTTTTTTATACTTTTAAATACATTTTGTAAATAATTGGGGGCGATAGCCCCCTTAAGCCCCTGCTTCGGCTTCCGCGGCCCCTGCCTAAGAATAAGATTTGGTGCTACAGTAGAAGATGCAATACCGTAAATCCTCGAATTAGCTCCCTGGGGGCTTAATTATTTTTGATATTTTTGAATAGTGGCTTATTCGAGGGGGGGCTTATACGAGGGTGGAGGCTGTACTAGAAATATTTTCTAAGTAAACTATCACTTAAAAGACCATCGTTATTGTAGTAGAAAAAATTTTCTTATGAGCAAATTAATATATTTACTATACCAAAAGTATGTATATGTTGATGTAATTCATAATATAATGCCATAGGCAACCCCCAGATGCCAAAATCATTCAAATGGAGGGGTTTCCATTCGAGAATTTACAGTAGCAGTGGGCGACAATTATTCGAGGTTGGGCTAATTGAACATATGAGATCTAGGGTGGTGTTATTCAAGGTAGGAGGGAAGCTTTTATCAAGGGGGAGGGGGCAATTCGAGACTTTACGATATCTGTCAGAACCTAATCCCCAGATTTGAAAAAGCGTCAAAAAAATGTCTAGCAAAACCCAAACAACTTATTATCTATATGATGAAGTTATAAAATGTTAATTATTCTAAAAAACATTTCTGTGATGAATGAAAAGATATTTCCGTTAGCTACTTAAACAATATATTAGGAAATTAAATGATTATTCTACTAATCCAAGATGCATGAGTTTTCTGTAAAATCCAGGCCCATTCCAGTAGCCTCTGAAAACAGAATAATTGATACTTAATTTTAGTTGTTCATGGCTTTGAAAGAAACAAAGTTTTCACAAAACATAAGTCATCAACAACACACAAGTATACATAAAAACATAAGTTGCTGATATCCCGATAAAATCTTGAATAGTTTTTGCTAATCGTTAATTGTACCACTTCATTAACTACTCACTCAAGCCTTCCAGATTCCCCCAAACAGTAAATAAAAATGTTAATTAGTTAATCTTGTGCAAAATAAATTCAGTTTTTCTGACGATGCATTGAAAAATCTCTGCAGGCTCTGGCTAAGAGTGTTTGTAATGCCCTCAGAACAACAGAGGTGAAAAATATTGTTGGAATTCGAGGGACGGTGACATAGTTAAGACCTCACTTAAGCCTTCCAGATTCCTCTATAAAGTAAAAAAAGTAGGGCGCTGCTCACTCGTGGAGAGTTTGTTAAATGAGTAAAGTTTGGAGTATTTGGTTCATTGGGTTTTGGTAAGCTTAAAATATACTTATTTAGAATTCAAATGGTGGAAATTGTAGAAAAATTAAAGAACTTTATGATACAACGGAAAATGCTATTAAACATGGATTTTGCGAAAACGAAAGGGGGCAGTTCGAAACAGTTGTGTTTCAGAAAGCGAAAGAGCAGTCACGTGAATACAAGATGATTGAAAAGAAAACGAGGCATAGAGAGGGAAAAATTAGAAACGAACTGGAGATAAAAAAGTATGAAGTAAAGATAAGAAGAGGAATAAGAAGGAGAAAGAGAAGAAAAGCTGGGAGGTAAAAAGAAATGGAAGAGACTTGGGGCGAAGAGCTAATGGTACTACTGGCTCTCTTTGTTATGATGCAACAACTGCAGTTAGATCTTATTGACTGATTTCTCAATGATTGTTTTACTGTGATTTCCTCAAAAAAGAGCTTAATCCAACCAACTTTCCCATAAACAGTGCTTACATTTAGGGCTGACAAGAACGGAGCTAAGAACTCCACAAACTCAATCTTTGGAAAACAATGATAAACTTAAGGGAAGATTGCTATGCTGCAAATGATCATGATGACGTTTGCAGACTTTATACGAGTTCATATGAGTATAAGCCCGAATATAACGAATCCCGAATATAACGAATCCCGAATATAACGAATCCCGAATATAGCGAATCCCGAATATAACGAATTCCGAATATAACGAACTTCACGATAAAACGAACTTCCGGTATAACGAACTTCACGGTATAACGAACTTCACGGTATAACGAACTTCACGGTATAACGACTTAAATTTCCGGTATAAACAAACTCTCGTTATTGAAAATTGTAATAACCTATCCCGGTATAACAAATATTGAAATCAACGAGGAATGAAATGAGAAAATAGACGCTCCTCCGTTTCTTCACTCCTATTTTCTGTTTCCGCTTGAATTTATGTCGCACTGATTCCCAGGGCACGGGATAGGTCAGCGTTAAAGTGAAATGAAAACCAAGTAATTAGGGAATGGAGAATCGAACAACCTGTTTACAAATAATTTGGAATCAAGATATTAACTTACTTAGTGATTTCTGACTTGTGATCAAAAATCTGTAGAATTCTGTAACGAAGGGCGATGTGACTAGATCTCTTTAACTTTGCGAGAAAGTGAGCAACTGTCAGACATAGACATAAACAAATAAACTTACTTTATCAGTCCATCCCAATATATCGCAGGCATAACATCTGATTTAAGATAAAACATTGAAGTCCTTTCCTGCATAAAAAACAAGAAGATATAGCTTAGATTTTCCTATGTTTATCAATTTTAAGTTTAACTACATGCCCATACAAAAACACGTAATAACATACAACTAGATATAACGACTAGAATATTGTACAAGTCTTTGGACCCAGTAGTAATTATTGGCAAACGGTATTTAATATTGCGATCCGGTAATTAACACTGCAACCCGGTACTAAATACTAAAACCTGGTACTAAATACTGCAACCTGGTAATGAATATCATAAACCCAGTACTAAATATTGCAGCATTGTACTTAACATTGCAAACACGGAAACCTGATACTGAATAGCCTAGCAATAAATACTGTCACCCGGTACTAGATGCGACAACCTGGTACTAAATACTGCAACATGGTAACGAATATCATAAACCCGGTACTAAATATTGCAGCCTTGTACTTAACATTGCAACATTGAACGAAAAACGGAAACCTGCTACTGAATAGCCCAGCAATAAATACTGTCACCCGGTACTAGATACGACAACCTGGTACTAAATACTGCAACATGGTAACGAATATCATAAACCCGGTACTAAATATTGCAGCCTTGCACTTAACATTGCAACATTGAACCAAACACGGAAACCTGCTACCGTACAGCCCAGCAATAAATACTGTCACCCGGTACTAGATACGACAACCTGGTACTGAATATTACAACCGGGTGCTGATTATTGCCAACTGATACTGAATATTACGACCCGGTACTAATACTGCAAATTGTTACTTAATATTTTAATGTGGTATTAAATATTGCGCAGGCACAGGTTAGTTGTGCCTTGAAACTGTAATAATAAAAGGGTATTGGACTTGGTTATTGGGGCAAATAATATTTAAATTTCCAACTAACCTTTCCTTGGTCAACCGGAAATGTTTCCATGGGAACTCCGTCATAGTTGAATTCAGCCAAGACACATCTATTGTACCCAGTTATGAGAGGACATGATGTGTATCCTTGATACTAGAGTAGAACAACATATATAAAATGACAATACGCTAGTGACAGCAGTTGCTTGATGATCGCTTTAAGCGTGAAACTCGAAGTAGCAACTTAGAACCGTCTTGTTTTATACACCAAATAGCGTGTACAGCTCTGCCTATACAGAATAGAGCATTTTATAACAGACCGGTAAACAGTAACTTTCATTGGACAATATGCTTTGTACACAAATAGTCTAGTAAAAAGCATGCAAAATGCCTGATGATCGCATTAAGCATGAAACTCGGAGTAGCAACTTAGAACCGTCCTGTTCTATACACCAAATAGCATGTACAGCTTCGCCTACATGGCATCGACCACTTTATGAGAGACCGGTAAAAAGTAATTTTCATTGAAAAATAACAATATGCTTGTTTAAAAAATGGCATATGCTGTTATCGCTATTATGATACTACCAATATTATCAATACCTTATTAGTATCAATATTATTAATATCATCGTGAATAGCAACACCAGTATTATCATTATAGTATCAGCCAAATCTACGACGCAAGCACGCAGGCAGAAACATGAAGATTAGTTCCTTGGTTTATAACAATAAAATCATAAAGTGAAACTAAACATTGCATTCTTTTTTAGCTCATGCCCTTATTCGTTAGCAAGTGATTTTTATCACGCGGGGAGCCCCTCAAGTGGGTAAAGAGGGTATAAAGTACTACCTCCTATTTTGTTCTTGGCCTAATTTAAGGGGCTCTTATGCTGGGTGAAAGGGCATAAAGAAATCATTTTTCTTTTTCTTTTTCTCATTTATGCACAATATGCACATTCAGCATTAATGCCACTAAAAACAGTTGTATTAATTCATATTGTAAATATAAAATGAATAAAACACCCTAGGTTAAAAATCTTTGCCGTCGTGTTTGTAAATGGGTTTCAACTGATCAAATATAATTTTAGATGTTTTTAGATGAAACAAAGTATTACCTCCTTTTCTGGCTCTCGGCCTTCCAAAAGGGCCATTATATTTTGCCTTACCGCCGCACTTTGCCCTGAGATTGCTGCAGCCGTCTTGCTTATCGGCGCATTACTGCAGTCGCCAAGTGAAAATACATTTGGATATGTCTTGTGTCTCATCGTGTGTTTGTTTATGTCGACAAAACCAGTGGCGTCAACCAGTTTACTCTGCTTCACAGCATCAATTGGGCCTTGCGGAGGAGTGACATGTATCATTTCGAACTGAAATGAAAAATGGCCTAAAACAGTAATTCACAGGAAAAAAAACCTGCCTTTTCAAGAGTCAGGTAGTTTTTAGATCTCGACTTAAAGGGCATTTGTCGCATTAACAGTTGGCTAATAAAACAAAAGCGTTTTTCCATTGTTTCATGGCTTTTCATTTCTTTTTTTTTTGAATTTTTATTGCCGTAAAAATTCACCCTCAATCCCATGCTTTGTACGAAACAAAATGGATAATTTTATTGCATCAGCCAGTCATGTTCACGACACATGCCCTTTGAGGTGCATGTAGAAAATGCAAGGAAATGTTTCTTACACTATGTTTTAACCTAATGGCTTCATCATTTTAAGTATGGTTCTATCAACGATAGATTGTTCAGAGGACAACGCCTAATTGAAAGGTTACCGCAACATATACATCTATTAAAGGTGTATAGGGGAGTTACAGGGTCGAAAGTTGTTACGAAATTTCTTACTTCTTTTATGCCATTCCATAAAAGGTTTTGACAATATCATAAACCTGAAACCCAAGTTAACTTAACAGAGTGGAAGGAATACATTTTTCATATTCTTTCCACTTTTCGAACCTTTCTCGAAGTAAAGGAATGCATTTGTTGATATAACAATGCTAAGTTTCGCAAACTGATGGGTGAAATGATCAAATAACATAGCAGCTACTCAAGGCCATGAAGCAGAAATGTCTTCTAAAGTCTCCTTCCTTACCTTGTACTTTAATGAACTTGGTGGATGATGTGATAAGCCTGGCAACAGAAGTTCTCCCTTTATGACAATAAGCGGTTCAGGGATATTGCCCTTAAGAAGAACTACAGTAAATCTCTGCAAAGATGGATCTACTTTTTCAAAAGCAATACTGTAATTGGATCCTGTTTAAAGCATTTTGGAATGGCAGAGTCAAAAGCTTTTCCTTCAGAGTCTCATCTTAAATGCATACTTTGATGATGAAAAAGATTGGCTAATATCGGGCGGTGTTTTGTGACAATATATCTGAGGCGTAAATTAATGGACTGTAAGGGGGGGGGGGGCGAGAGCCCCTAAGATTTTGCTAAATTGTCAGTGTAAACAAAGTATGTAGGAAAGTTAGTCGGAAAATTTTGTCATTTGAAGGCAAATTTTCTTGATTATGGAAGTCCCTCTTTTGAAAAACAATTTTCTGCCTCAGCAAAAGAAGGTCGAAGGGACCAATGTCCTTTAAAATAAAACACTGACAAATGGCCGAAATTCACTTTTTACCACGACCCCATGTTCTTTTTTTGTTGGTGATTTATATCTTATATATTTTGCCGTGGCTTGGATGCTTATTGACATAATAATGATAATAAAAATTAAATTTGCCTATTTCGATCCACAACTGGGTATAAATTTTCCATCGTGTTCCTTCGGACCCTTATTCTGAAGTTTTGTACTCTGAGGAGTGTCAGATGAAATACATTTAATAGTATGTTGTGAAATGTTTGTTTTTTCTAAGACATTTTCAAGTTCTGTACCTCCAAGAAATTGTTCACAAAAAAAAACAAGAGAGAAGAAGAATAAAAACAGACAAAAAGGAAATAGAAAATGACAATAACCGAACCTGAATTGTCTTTTTGTCAACCGCCTTCCCTGATTCGTCCAGCACTTCGAAGATCGCCTCCCTGTCGCCATAATTCAATTCAATCAAATTATGTCTAAAATTAACATTGATGTCTCTTTCAGCGCAAATCCGATCCAGAACGGTCCGATATTTCGGTACAGCAAACATAAAGGACAATGCGGTCATGTAATGTACATTTGCCTTCGATCTAATACCATGCTGTAAGAGAGATAAGGCTTACTTAAACTCTATTGTATTGTATTGTATTGTATTGTATTGTATTGTATTGTATTGTATTGTATTGTATTGTAGTGTATTGTATTGTATTATATTGTATTGTATTGTATTGTATTGTAGTGTATTGTATTATATTGTATTGTATTGTATTGTATCGCATTGTAATGCATTGCATTTTATTGTATTAAATTTGGTTGCCATTGTATTGTATTGTATTGTATTGTATTGTATTGTATTATATTGCATAGTATTATATTGCATTGTAATGCATTGCATTTTATTGTATCAAATTGTTTGTCATTGTAATGTATTATTTATGTAATATGTATAAAAAATAGTTTAAAAGCTTTTTTCTTTGAAGCAAAGTTGACAGGCACGCAGTTGTCCAACACTAATTACAATGACTCTATTACACGTTGCGAGATTAGTGACGTAATTTTCTACCCAGCCCCGCTTTCCTATTGTCATTTATATACGCAGGAGAACTGTACGAAAGAAATGCCATGTAAGAACAGGGGAGGAATTAACCCAATACTGAGAGGCCTCGTGGTCTTTATGGAAAATAAACTAAGACAACACATTACATAGAAAAGAGGAGGGTAGAGAGTGTAGGGAGGGAGGGGACATATATTCTGAAGGATCTCCTCTCTATGGTTTTGTATATCACATTTCCAGTATATATTGAATAATTTTACGATTATGTATGTTGCAACACGAAACTAGTTTAGTTGCTGGTTGGAGTTAGAGTTGAAGTAAGGATTGTGATCGGCGGATATGTAAAATGAAACACTTATGGGTTGAATACTAAACGGTTTACACAAAGTGGCGATTTTTCTGCATCTTATACTTCGTCCATCATTAAATTTTGAGAAAGGGGCATCGCTAGAAATAGTGGTTCCAACATATATTGAACATTTACTTTTGTCTTCTACAAACACCTTGCTATAAATGTTTTGCAGTTTCTTGAGTTGCCATCCAAGAATATGCCTCTGACGTCATTAAATTATCGTTCCCATTCTTCCTACAGATATTTAGTAGCCCCTTTGGAGAATAGGTTTCGAAAACAGTCTTTAGCCAAACATTTCTACTGGTTCATGGCTTTCCTCCCCCAGAGCATTTCGATGACGTGATTTGCATTATTGTCTCAGTCGTCTTACTAATATAAAATGGACATTAGCAGATCTGATTGCTAAATAATGTTACCTAACATTGTCGCCTTCTATGCGAGGCAATCTCGTATACATCATTTAAATTCTTGTCCTCAGTTCTCTTACACCAATAAAATATATTCCGGCAAAGGTACCTTTCTGAAATTTTTTCTTAAGGTGAACATTGGCATTTTAAACCTCCTGGCTTCAATTTCCGAGAGGACACGGATGGCGTCATTTCAAACTAATTCCCAGTCCCCTCACAATGATAAAGTTGTAATGGCAAAGATACCTTTCTGAAATGGTCTTCGGCTAAAAATTGTTACTTGGTATTATCTGGTTTCTGGACGCAAGTTTAGCTCGATTACGTCATTTAAATTCTCATCCCCAGTACTCTTACATTATTAAAGTCTATATACCTTTCTGAAATAATCTTCTGCTAAGTACATGATTTTCTGCGGAGCTCCTTGGCATTTGATAGGCGTGTTCGGCAACGTAAACAGCGCGTTGCCACCTTGAAACGTCTGGATGCTTTTAAAAGTGTCAGTCACTGTCTTTATAGAATAGTTGCTACAAACACCAGGCATCCCAAGAGATTCTTGAAGGCCTTTCACCTGTAGACAGAGACAATGCCTTTTACAAGGAGGACTGAGCACTAGATTTCACAGTATGACGTCAAAAGAAAACAAAACCACAGTGTAACAAGCCAGGTAAAGATCTTAAGGGGCAAGAACCTGTGACAATGTGGCCATATCTTAGGCAGTCTGTAGCAAATCTAACTGATTTTGCCCATTTACATTGTTCTTCAAGCTCATATTGAAAAAGTCAAAAATTTTTAAAAATAGAACTTGATGACGTCGTCACATATTCATTTTATTTCGATCTTGAGACATGATAATAATAGCAGGAAGACAAACTCTGGAAGTTTTACCTTTTGTAAACTTGTGGCCAAATAAACTAAACAAATAGTTTAACAATAAAATCAACTAAGATTCTGCAGTTACAATAGTGTACCAAAGTGATGATGTCCCAAAAATCTATTTTTAGAATTTTCAATTTTGACCATATGACAAGCATTATGAAACACCCCTAAATGTGCAAAATCAGTTGGTTTTGATACAAATTGGCAGGGATATGGCCACATATGACAAGCTCTTTCTCCATCAAACCTCGGTAATTTGGTCTTGGTTCAAAACTTAAGAACCACAGCTATCTGTTGACAAACTTGAGATCTTTCATTGGCCATATCGCACCCTATATTCAAAATAACTAATTTTGCACATTGAGAGGTATTTTGTGCCCTTTTTCAGAGAATGTGGTCAAAATTAATAAACTCTAAAAATAGATTTTTGATGACACCACACTCTGGTTTGGTACTCTGTTCACAAGAAGACATTCAAACATACCTTTCCAAAGTTTATTTGCAATCCAGTTGCAACTATGAGAAATTCATACTTGATCTAAATCAACAAAAGAGAAAAACATTAATATCAAGAACTTTGCACTGCAAAAACATTATAGTGTAATAGGTATTATCTTAAAAGACCTTAACCTTAAAACCTTAACCTTATAACCTTAAAAGAAACTCTTTCTAAAAAACAAATAAGATGGTGGCTTTATCATAAATCTCCTCATGATCTGTTCTTGCTAGCATGTCTTTTACTTTGCAAAGCTTACTTATAATCCTGGACAGGGATGTTTAGACAAACCCTTAAACTGGTGCTCAATGGCATGGATGTAAAAGCGCAACATCTACATGCTCCACAATTCAAATTTGGAATCTCCTTTTGAATGCAGTAGTATATTAGCTGAAGTAGCAAAAGGTTGAATGAGAGAAAAATAGGGGTCTACACCCTTTTAAATGCCAGAAAATAGATTACAGAGACTTTTTTGCTATTGGGGGCATCCATCCCTTCTTGCCTCCCCCTCATTATGCTAGTGCAGATGTGGGGTTGAAGGTCTTTCTGGTCCCTAACCCAATTTCTGTTATCTACCTACTCTAGCAAGGGGTAACTGTATTATCAAATACACAACAGCAGACCTCACATCAGATCTCATTATCAAATTCTTACACAAGCACAAATTGAGAGATCTTAACCCTACGGCTTTTCAAATGAGTGTCCAAAAACCCTGTTTCTGTCCAGTATTTAAATGATTTGTTTTGAATATTTTTATAATAAATTCACTAATAGATATAAACTCATAGCTGAGGGCTGGGGAGGAGGTGGTAGATTACCCCTAACCTTTTAACGCTCTAGATTCTTTGTGATATTTCTGTGGCAACTCTTGAATATCTTAAGACTATTGTTAAAAGACCAGAAAGAGATTAAAATCAAGGAACAACCTTGGGTCAGTGCCATTAGGGGTCAATTCGATTTAGGGCTCTCTGGATTTTTGCAGAAATGTTGAAGCATAGAGTTTTCAAACTATGTTCTGACGTTTTGAACTCTGAAGAGTGTCAGACACAAAGCTTTAGTTTACTAAATGCTTGCTTTTTTCAAAGCCATTTACAAGTTTTGTACCACCAAAAGATTGTTTAAATGTTGACCTATGGCCAATTCACATAATGGACAAAAGTAAATTTAGTATGCTTTGTTTATACTTTTGTAGAATTTCAATTAGGATATCTTCCAATTGTGTGGTACCAAAGACTTGAATGAAGGAATCCTACCTCTTTCCCACCCAAAGTCAGCACAGAGTTGCTCTCGGGATTAAATTCTGCAGCACCGTCTTGTATCCAGTCTGATTTCTCAGGCATAACAGATTTCATGGGCCTGACTGACTCTGAAACATCTTTGATGCCTCCACCAACCAAAGTCCATAATGGTTGATAAAAATGTTTCTGCAAACAGAAAAGCGGAAAATAAGGAAGCTGGATAAAACACAGCTCAACTGACATATGGGTATAACAGGCCTGGTGTAAGACTTTTAGCAGGGGAGCAGTAAACAGCTCTCCTAACAGTTTTCAGGTGAGCTATTTGAAGGTAAATTAGAATAGAACCAAAGGAAAAATTGATTTCAAGGAGAGCAAATTCACTTTTTAGAACAAGTTAGGAGAGATATTTCTGGCATTTCAGGAGAGCCTGGAGGGGTGCAAGAGCTATGGCTCTCCTCAGGTGGCCAGGTCTGAAATGACGTGAAGGGTGCAGGGAAAGAAATGCATGAAAAACATGAGATAAATCCTTGAAACAACATAGGAACTTAGAAAATTAATAAGAAACATTCCAATGCAGCAGGAGGGAAAATAGAAATAAAAAAATATATGCAAATGCTATGGGGCTTATTCAAGACTTATTCAAGATTCAAGACTAGAGCTCCCCAAGCCCCCCGGCTCTGTGGTGCCTTTTCTGTGAGTGACAGGTGAAAAGGTGATACAACTATTCTGGAGACTCTGCACGCAAGGATTTAAAGGCCATTGTTTTAGTTGTTGTTAGCCCACCCCAAGGCTTGTTCAGTTCAGTTCCTTTAATTTTAAAATTCCACTTCAATACAATTTCACAAATATTACTTTAAATTAAACAACAAAAGCTTTTCAAAATCAATGAAATACAGTTCTACAAAACAAACTACAATATAAAACAAAGGAGGGATTTGCATGTAGGGAATTTCTTATAGGAGGAGCTCTCTCAATAGATAAACTAATCGAGGAGACAGCACCACCTAAGTTAAAAATTCGCTTAATGTTCGGAAAAAAGTGTGCATCTAATCAATTTGCAGAAAGTAATCACTTGAAAATATTAAGATCTTACAACTGATAGGTGATGGAAAACAAATGCAGCATAACTTGCCGACGGAAGGAAATTACAGAATTGGCTTGTTTGATCAAGGTACGGGTGCCGTTCCACATGCATGCCTGACTTCTGTTCGGTTTACTTTTCTGAGAATCATTTCCTTTACGAGTTTCATATTAATGCTTACAACCTATCTAAAAAAACCCCGAGCAATCAAGAGAATAACTTACATCTGAGGGCTCTACAACGGCAACTTGATTAGGGAATTTCCTCGATAGAAACGATGCTACACTCAATCCCGCAGCACCTCCACCAACAACGACGAATTTGTAGGCACTCTTTGCAGCATCTTGGCTGGAACAGCGCTTCATATTAGGAGTAAAAAGATAGCCATATCCCTTGATCCTAGAGGCTCTTTTTAGATTTTGCAATGACATGTTATTTGTGGTACAAATTCACAAATTCTAAAAGCTGCTTTTTAAAAATTGACCCCTGACATTTGCAGCTTTTCAAATAACAAAATTTGAGTCTGCCGTTGTTGTGGTTGTTTGAATAGAAACCACACGTGGGAAGGGTTCTCTGGGGGGTCATTTGAACTTTATTTATACGGGGGGGGCATCAGAGGGGGGCCAAGAATTATTTCACGTGATCTGATAATTTTGGCGACCTGATTTAGCAATGTACTATTTGATACAAATGGCTACAACCCACTGAGATAAGTGATTCAACCATACTTAAACAAAATCAAAATTTGAAGGAAAGAGTTAATAATTTCCACTACCTCTTTTTACAAGAACCAGCGAATTTAAGGTCAAGTTAGCTGCTCTTAGATTTTGTATTTATATACATATTTATAATTCTGAATTATATATTTGTGAGGGATTTTCATAATTGTGGAAAGACCTCTTGCATTTTAAAAAATGAGTGACTCCCCTGGGGAATGGTCGGATAACACCAAGGAAGGGGGTTTAATTGAAAGGGGCAGATCAACAAGGATGGTCACATCGTAAAATATGACTTCAATTGTTGCATAAAGTACTCTACATCTCAGTCCAACGAAAAGGGGGTCTTGTGCAGAGATCACAGAGAATATTCGGGTTGGAGGGGGCAGGGTTTTCAGTTTGCCACGACCAAGAGGAAAGGGAAGATTTTCTTTCTGCAACACAGCCTAACGAACTTTGATTGAATAAGTCCATTATAAATACATGTTCATGTTAGTTTTCTCAATATTTCTGCCGAGAGCATCTTTGTAAACTTTTGACCTAGCCCCCCCCCCCCCAACCCTCGGTTTGATCCGGGTCTCCCTAGTTGTAGATCAGTGGTAGAAACCCAAGCCTCGTGCTCACAGCCTCGCATTCTTCATCAAAAGCTGCGTTCAAGATGGCGGGGGACTTTTATTGCCGTTACTATGTTGGTCATAAAGGCAAGTTTGGACACGAGTTCTTGGAGTTTGAGTTTCGTCCTGATGGTGAGAAATATTCTGCAGACGTTGATTTTTTAGAAACAATGTTATTTTGGAGGCCTTTTGTTTAAAAATTATTTTATAGGCAATCTTAATGTGTCCGTTTGGAGCTCCCCAGCGAGCGACTGTCCTAAAAGTCTTGTCAATTTTCCTGGTAGTCCTTCTGTTATGCTTCAAGAAAACTGATTCTCAAGCAACCCTTGATATTTTTTTTCATTTATCTGAAAGTCTGCCCAACAATTTTGTTATATAGCTGTGTTTTTTGCAGTCGGCATCCGCAAGTGTACGAACTTGTAACCCACGTGCCAGCCAAGTCTTGTTAGGTCCCAGACTAAAAACTGCGACCCTTTGGCACTTCAATAAAAGTTGGGTGCGAAAAATCGAATTTTTCTACATGTGAAAATGTGCGCTACACAGTTTATCAAATTATCTTTGAAAATGAATATGAGCTTTATGTATAAGCTAAATGATAAATTGTCAATTTACTAAATAAATAAAACTAGCCATAAATTGAGTGTGCTGCTCATTAAAAGTGCAAAAGTCCCGGCAAGGTTCACCAAAATTCTGCGATTGTTACAATCTCAGGTGCAATCTGGGTAGTAATTGTTCATTCCAAAGCCAGACCATGGTAAACCATCACCAAGCCTTTTTCTGCCTTTGTAAACCATGGTTGCAACATGGTTCTGCCTTGGTAAACCATGGTTGAAACATGGTTCTGCCTTGGTAAGCCATGGTTGAAACATGGTTCAACCATGTTAAATTTTAAAATCAGTGTCTAATTTCAACCCTACTTAAGGCCCCTTATAAGCCATGGGTGAATCTGGGTGGTTACATTGACAGAAGGGCACCGTTTTGGTTAAAGATTTGTTTGACAAAAGCTGTTGTTTTCAGTTTGTTTTGTTTAATGCTATGTCCTTTTAGGTATGCTTCGCTATGCAAACAATTCAAATTACAAAAATGATGTGATGATTAGGAAAGAGGTACAGTGTCCTTTTTTTTCTTGTCAAGTGATATGTTTATTTCAACTGCTGAATCAACATCAGGTTTAGTCAGCTATGATTTTAGTTCTATTATCAGTCTTCATTTTCAGGCAAGTTTCAAGTTTGAATATTCACCAAAGAACTTGTTTTTGAGATAAAACAGTGTTCACCAAAAAACAACCAACAAGTGGCTAAAAATCTTGTTTTTGAGATAAAACGTTGCTCAAAATTGCATTTTACAGAAGAACAGCTTCAGCTTGTCCTTAATTTGTTCTTAACTTTTGACCAATTTTGTTCTTATTAAGTTGTTCTTATAAAAAGAAGAGTGTATGGTTAAAACATAATTATGTCATGATAAACTGTGGTTGAAACCTGGTTTTACAATGGTAAACCTGGTTTTACAATGGTAAACCATGTTTGAAACATGGTTCTTACATGTCATATTTACTTTTGCATTTAAGATTTTGTAGAATCAAACATTGATTTCCTACTTAGATTTTGTCTCCATCTGAAAGAGGAATTGACTGCTGCTTAGCAAGGATGAAATATGTTCATTTTGATGAGAACTGTCACAGTAGTTTTGTAAAAGTTTCTGTTTGATAATAAGGTCCAGGCTGTTATGAATCAACCTCAAAGCTTCTTTATGACTTTCCTACTTAAAAGCTTCAATTTATGTGAATTAAACACCTAGAAACTTCACCAAAACCCTGTAAAGATGTTCTGAACAAACAGCTTAGAGAAAATGTACAGGAGCAGCACAACTTTGGAACCATTTCTGTCGTTCACGCATCTTACGGCACTGTAGCCACAAATTGTTTCCCTGCAGGTTGAACATATTTATCAGTGTAGCTTTACCTCCCTTGACTAGGAGATGGACCATCATTAATCTAGTAGATTTACAAACAAAGACATGATGAAGAAAAATTTAAGTGCTATTTCACCTACTGATAGACACTTTGGCCGAGAAACTGAGAATTTTGTAACAACTGAAGATTTTCTGACCAACTCATGAAGAACTGGGGTGTTGTCGCCCCCCCTACGTTTCTGCTAGCTACACCCCCAATTTTTAGGTCATCTTCAGAACTTTGTCATGTAAATGGAAATTTAGTATAGTATTAGTGTTAGGTTTTTACCATGTAACATTAAAATGTTACGAGGACTTTATATTAAAGGCAGAGCAAGTTTATATCTTGATTGTTACTTGAAAAGCTAAATACAAATTCTTCTGCTCACTATCAAACATTATTTGGTATTTTTTCACAAATTGCAGGCCTTTGTTCACAAAGCTGTTGTTGAGGAACTCAAAAGAATAATAGAAGACAGCAATGTTAGTATACCACATGTTTTCTTACACCTTCAAGCCTCTTTTTCTGTAACAACCCCAAACCTTTCAGAAATCTGTACTGTTTGTCACTTTAAAGATAACTTTGATACACACTTAACTTTAAAATTCAAGTGAAGTGCATTAGAATGGTTTTTTTAAACAAGAAATGTTGTGTTGATGTTAACTTAGAAAAACGAGAAAACATGTCAAATGGTCATTTTTACGCACGACTGTACAACTATACTGTTTTTCAGTATATTCTAAGGCAGATTTTTGTTTAATGTATTTTCTATAATATGATAATTAACATAAGTTAATGTTTATAAAGGTTTGATTGGTTCCATAGTTTGATTGGTTCTGATTCTATAAACTTTAATGCGAACTTAAAGGTAGTCAACTCATGCTAGAGTAGCTTTCGCAAACAATCAATCAAAATAGGCCAATCAAATAATGTGTAAGTTGTATCACGCTTGTTGATTTGCTAGTTTTGATTGACAGATTGCTTAAGTCACTTAGTATCTGTTGATTGCATTTAATTCGTTTTTGTCCTGTATAGCACAATATATATGTTTTTGTTTTCGTTTTTGTACAGCATTTAAATTCCTCTTTTCTTCCTTGGCATTCAGTTCTGGGTTTATATATTTATTTTCCTTTCAGATACTCAGTGAAGATGATGCTTTGTGGCCTCCTGCAGACAAGATTGGTCGCCAAGTATGTTTTTCTTTTATATATTTCTCCTTTAAAGACTTATTGCTAACAATGAGCCATTGCGCTACACAAGCATCCCATAATGCATTTTAAGACAGTCTGAAATCAATTTTGGTTAATTCGTAGAAGTTTACTGCCATTGTTTGGATCGTTGCCACGCTCACCAAATGCCCATTGTTAGCAATGAGTCTTTAAATTGGGTCTCAGGCCAAAATAGCAATCCATTGTTATAGGCTCGTACCATGTAATAAATGGGCTATACTCGAAATATCATTAATCAATGAGCTCTTATTTATTCGTTGGACAATTTACCTAAATTCATAGTTAATTTCTATTATATTCAGACTTTTGGAAACGAAGCTTGATAATGAAACTTGTAGCCAGTACCACGAATGGATTCAAGCTAAAAGGACAACTGTCTTCGCTCTATTTTTGTCCTGGTACTGGTTATAAGTTTCAGTTATATTGTACAGCAAACAATCTAGTATAATACCATGTAATGTTCATGAATTTGTTTCTTAATATTTTGATATGATTTAAGTCACAAAACTCTTCATTAGAAAGCAAAAAGAACCAATCTTTGTGATTTCACAGTTTTACAAAATTGTGTAATATCTGTTTATCTTATTTTCTCCTGGAAAAGTGCAACATTTTGTGTGTAAAAATTAAAAGGCCACAACACCAAAACCATGGGGGATTCCAACGATCAATAAATGAAAAGTTGATAAATGGGAACCCATCAGACCTTTTTCTTGCAATGTGTTAAGACCTAACTGTTTATGAATTTTACCTAAGTTCCATTTCTAAGAAGGATTTCTTCAAAAGATAGAAGGAAAGAATTGAGGAGGGCAAAAAGGGCAAAATTTCATCCCCTGTAATGTTGAGACATTTTCTGAACTTTGTTTCTGGTTTCTACCATTTTTGGCCTTTTATTTTAAGGCAGAAAATATTAAACTATGTACTCAGCTGAAACTAGGCGACATAGTGAGCACAGTTTTGTCTTAAGAGGCCTGCCCTGCAGAGCTTTTAGCTACTGTCAGGATGTTGCTACAATGTCATTGTTGCATTTAAATTGGATTAGGCCCAGCCTAGTTCAGTTCAGTACAAGATCAGAACAAAACCATTTTGCTTCTACAATTTAGATTTTTATTGCTGTTCTGATTGTAGGAGCTGGAAATTGTACTTGGGAACGAACATATTTCATTTTCAACTGCGAAAATTGGGTCGCTGATTGATGTTAACAATTGCAAGTGAGTATATGTCATTTTGTCGATCAGTGCTACGTAGAATGTTTGATACCAGTGTTTTTCTGAGCAATTTTATTTGCTCTAACATTCAACTTATCCTTTCAAGCATAAAGCCTTTGAAAATAACTTCAATGTGACTAAATTATATACCATGCTCTGATTGGACCTGTCTGATTGGACTTGTTTAATCCAATCAATGTCCTATGACCTTTGACCAGAAATCTAGCTCATTTTTGTCTTTACCAGTACTGGCCTAACTTTCTTTAAAATCACATTACATTATGACTTACTTTAATAATAGTGACCAGCCAGTAGAAAAATGGATGTCCCTGGTTGGTTTTGTTTTATCCAATTAGTGTCCTTTGACCTTTGACCAGATCTTAAAGTCCCAATGAGAAAATTACCTCTTTCTGTCTTGGCCAGTACTGGCCTAACTCTCTTTAAAATCACATTACATTATGACCTACTTTAATAATAGTGACCAGCCAGTAGAAAAATGGATGTCCCTGGTTGGTTTTGTTTTATCCAATTAGTGTCCTTTGACCTTTGACCAGATCTTAAAGTCCCAATGAGAAAATTACCTCTTTCTGTCTTGGCCAGTACTGGCCTAACTCTCTTTAAAATCACATTACATTATGACCTACTTTAATAATAGTGACCAGCCAGTAGAAAAATGGATGTCCCTGGTTGGTTTTGTTTTATCCAATTAGTGTCCTTTGACCTTTGACCAGATCTTAAAGTCCCAATGAGAAAATTACCTCTTTCTGTCTTGGCCAGTACTGGCCTAACTCTCTTTAAAATCACATTACATTATGACCTACTTTAATAATAGTGACCAGCCAGTAGAAAAATGGATGTCCCTGGTTGGTTTTGTTTTATCCAATTAGTGTCCTTTGACCTTTGACCAGATCTTAAAGTCCCAATGAGAAAATTACCTCTTTCTGTCTTGGCCAGTACTGGCCTAACTCTCTTTAAAATCACATTACATTATGACCTACTTTAATAATAGTGACCAGCCAGTAGAAAAATGGATGTCCCTGGTTGGTTTTGTTTTATCCAATTAGTGTCCTTTGACCTTTGACCAGATCTTAAAGTCCCAATGAGAAAATTACCTCTTTCTGTCTTGGCCAGTACTGGCCTAACTCTCTTTAAAATCACATTACATTATGACCTACTTTAATAATAGTGACCAGCCAGTAGAAAAATGGATGTCCCTGGTTGGTTTTGTTTTATCCAATTAGTGTCCTTTGACCTTTGACCAGATCTTAAAGTCCCAATGAGAAAATTACCTCTTTCTGTCTTGGCCAGTACTGGCCTAACTTTCTTTAAAATCACATTGCAAATCACAAATCACACACAATTTATTAATAGTGACCAGCCAGTAGAAAAATGGATGCTCCTGGTTGGTTTTGTTTTATCCAATTAGTGTCCTTTGACCTTTGACCAGATCTTAAAGTCCCAATGAGAAAACTACCTCTTTCTGTCTTGGCCAGTACTGGCCTAACTGTCTTTAAAATCAACTTACATTACATTATGACCAACTTCCTACCATTTCGAGCCAACAATATTGAATCGAGACAAGCAAGTGGGAAAATAGAGATACTTTATTGGCTTGGTTCTGACGGATCAGTGTCTTTCTGTCTATGCTAGTAAGGGTTTGACACTCTTCAAAAGCAACTCGCTTTAAATTTTATCTAGTTTTTACACAGAGTTGTAGGTCGGTACAAGCTATTATGTTAACCAAATGTTTTTGTCTTACACAGGGACGTGGAAGGCTTGAAATGTTTCTACTACCTCGTGCAAGATCTCAAATGTCTGGTCTTCTCTCTCATTGGTCTGCATTTCAAGATCAAACCAATTTGATGTATGGACAATACTAAATGAACATGGGACATTTTCGACCGACAAACTCGACTTTTAAAAGCAGTATTTATACTATATAAAATCAACTTTTTTTAGTTTACGAAATATTAGGTTTTATCTTACTTGCGTCTCCTGTTTTTGAATGATGACGTCATAGTCATTATTTTTCTACCTGGCATTTTTTAACAATCTTATGAAAATGAGAGGATTTAGCAGATCTGTTGATTTCGTTCTATATGCAGTTATTTCCAGTTTGTGTTGAGAGGAAAGTAAGATGAAAAATCCAAACCTTTCTCAAATGTGTCCCTTCTTCATGATACAAATGTGTCCCTTCTTCATCATTTTTTCTTTCTTCATTTCAAGTTGGTACAATCTCTAGCTATACTTAATTAAACTAAACCACTAACACTAAATATAATGTAAATCAAATATAACCGATGTTCCATGCAAAGATGATAAGTACAACTGAACAATTGAAATTGATAAACTGATACGAAAGTTGTAATAAAATGATAACAATAATAATGTAAGACTTTTACAACTACAAACCTCTCCTTTACATTGATAGTTTGCAACGATAGATTAGACTATTATAATCGTAAGTGCAAAACGGAAGACTGAAAAAACAGCTAAAATTAAAAAGGATGTGAATCAGGGTTTGGCAAAAACATCCTAGGATGGAAATGCAGAATTATTCATCAATCAACGTTTAGCATCGGCATTTTAGCTCAGACCATTCATTTTTATACATGTAAACACTAATTTATCCAATATAGCCCCCCCCCCCTTCTCTCATCACACTAGCAACTGATCCATGACACACAATCAAATCCTTGCACCATGACTGTGCAAAGGAAGATTTGCTCTTGCTGCTTTCAAGCAGGATGAATTTGTGACAACGGACAGTGAACAAGTTTTTTAAAAATATTAGATCATCTAATTTTGAATTGATATGTTTTATTTAATATCATTGATTTCTCGGATAATCATCCTTGCCAACCAAAAACAATTGTAGTACGATATTTAAAATTTTCTTCCCGGGCCGGATTCTGACCCGCGGGCCGTAGGTTTTAGAGTGAGGAAAATGGCTATGTCTTATTCATTGCAGGCGTAGGAATCACAAGGAATGGTCACACCCTCAGTGGTTAGGGCCGCGGACTATTTAAGGGTCTGAGGCCCAAATCACTGGCACGACCAAACTCTCACTTGGCGCTTTGCCCCTGTTGCCTTCTTTGAGTGATGGCAGAGCTGATGCCAATGGAGGGTATGGGTGGGCGCGTCGCCCTCCCCCCCCCCCTATAAGGCTGTATGTTGGAAAATCTGAATTCTTGTCGGAAAATTTTTGGATTCTCAACAATCACAAGTCCCATCCCAACGACTGGCTGATTATGTTCTTCTTAGCTTTCCATATTTTATTTTTGGCAATTTTGCTTTTAATCGATTATTTTATGTTGCATTGACTGAAAATAGCCAAAGTTTGTCCTTGCGGAATAATTTAGTGGTCCTTTGTCTTGACTAGTCACTTCACCAAGATATCAACTACACCTTGAAGAAATCTATCTGCACCTAAAATATAGCAAATTGGGTTGGGCTACTAGACCTATACCTAGCAATTGGGAAATGACAAATAAGACGCATGCGTAGTATTAAATTTGCCATTGAAGTAGATGTGTCGTCGAAAATATTTTGATCTCCGCCTCCCCCCCCCCCCCCCCCCCCCCCCCCCCCCTATCTCCGCATCACTACTGGTGTAGGTCCTGAGTGATGGCTTCCCTGAACAGGTGTATCACTATTGGGTTCGACTCAGTTTGTGAAAGATTGGTCAGTAAGGGCATTGCCGTCGGAACTAAATTCACTTTGGAGGCTGCCAATTGTATTCCTTCTCATTCAAAACACTGTCGTAAAGAAAACATACTGCTGTTTGACAATTGTTGAGAGGCTCAAGACCCCCCAACAGCCCCCCACGGTTCCGGAGGCCCTGAGTAGGAAAACGCAGGAACTCCGGTGAAGGGGGGCCATGGCTCCCCTACTTTTTTGCAAAAAATAAAGCTTTCTTCCAAAATCTTTTGTTGTGGGTGCTAAATTTTTCGATGCATCCCCCCTCACTTTCTAACCTGTGACGTAGACGAGACAGACAAAGAGGGCAACCAAGTTTCTCTACGCAATATCTTTTTACCCAGCGAGAAAACCATAGGGAGATGATTGACAAAATTGATGAAAGATGTTTTCCGATGATTTAAGTGGTATAAATCTAAATATTTCCCAAGGACCTCCCTTTTGACCTTGTTATCTTACTTTCTTTTATTAAAATTTGTTTTATCTGATTCTTGATAATGTAAATTCTTCGTCGATTAAATTGTTACCACTTACCAAACATAGTATGCACCATTGCATCTTAAAAGATGCGATGACGTTTCGGCAAAATTAAGACGGGGAAAAGCTCAATTCTTATCATACGAATTATCTACAAGAAATACTAACAAATTTTCTCCCTTGTTTATGTTACCGACATTTTCATTTTTCATTTCATTTTATAATATTTATACAGGTTAAAGGCTCATACATATGTTTTTCAACCTGACCTGTTTAAAAGATTAAAATAAGAGCTAATAACTATGTTATAATACTAATAAAAAAGAAATTTACCAACCAAACCTAATTTTGCTTTGCCAAGAGCAGTTTCGTAACTCGTTGTCGTAATAGGTAGTACAGTAGATCCTCGAAATGCCTCTCCCCCCCATCGAATAATCCCCCACTGCTACCATAAATCCTCGAATTTGCCCCCTCTCGATTTGTTGATTTTTACCATCTCATGTTGCCTTTGGCGTTTTATTAAATTACTACAAAAATTCATACTTTTTGTAATAATTAATCAACTGCTCATAAAGAAATTTCTACTAAAATGAACGAGGTCTTTTAATAATGTCTTCTTAATGTCTACAATAATTTTATACGTCCCCCTCGTATAGGATCCCCCTCGAATAGCCCCCCATCCAAAAGTATCAAAAATATAAAAGCCCCCATGGGGCAAATTCTAGGATTTACGGATACAAAGATATACGGTATTTTCCAAGTGCAAATGTCTCTTCTCGGTATGTTTTAATTTTGGTCGCATTCATCACTCCAAATGTTTTTTTGTGCGAATTTGTTTTAAAGGACCCAACTCAAAACCTTGTTCCTAAAATTCATTATTTTTGGACCTTTATTGAACAAAGTGCAGCATCAAAATTCCTTAATAATTCCTTAATTTTCATTGAACATTATGTGTCATAAGATAGCTCAAGACAAGAAAAACATCAAAATTGTGAATTTTCGCTTTTAATTGCGGCCAGAAGAAGCCTAGAAACACGAAGAAGGAATGTCTTCTTTCTCTCAATGTGCCATATTCTCTTCCAACGTTGGCGACCTATCCTCCAAAACTCTCTGTCCTTTGCTGTTCTCAGGATCTCTAGTCTTGATCAGGGATGGCGCTAAAAGGTGTCATGGAGGAGAGCAGCTCAGTGGTGGCGCCAGGAGAGGGCTAGGGGGTGCTACAGCCCCTCCGTCGGAAGCATCTAGCCCCCCCCCCCATCGGAGGAAATTTTAGGTTATTGTCGGAGCAAAGTTGACAAAAACCGTACGAAAACTGTTTATTTTAGTCATTTTAGCCCCCCTGTCGGAAGCTCCAACCCCTCTGTCGGAAGATTTCTGGTGCCACCTCTGGGGCAGCTGCCCCCTAAAAGTTCTCAATGACACCCCGTCGACAGTCAAATATAAGAAAAGAAGAAGGACTGTCGGCATTTTGAAACTGTCCAAGGAGGAATTTATCATAAGAACCATTAAGTTGAAGTTCTGGCTGGCTTTTTGACTTTCAGTAAAACCATTAAAACCATTAGAATTATGAGGCTGGATTGTTCTTAACTTGTTCGTAAACCATAAGGGTGTAAGCAGTGCAATTGCTTAATATTGGCTTAATTTTTGTGTTCAGGCACCATTTGCAAACAACGTTTGAAAAATTCAGCGTCAACTTGACCAATTTGAATCAATTAAAAATAACAAATTTGGAGGCTCTTGTTTTTATAAAATGTCCTTTTGAGTAAAAGTTTTATTAAAAGCTGTCGCCCAGCCCCGTGATTTATTAGGAATCTGAGTAGCAGCAAATAACTGGGGTCGCAAAGAGAAAGGGAGAAAGGGGGCAACAGGGGAAGGGGACTGATGGCTGTATGGGGCCTTTTAAAGTAACGAGTTCGATTTTTAGAAATGGAATTATTCAATCATAAAAAATTATGCCCAAGCAGAGTAAAAAATTTCAAACAATTGGACGAAGATGGCTCCAAGAAATATTCTGGAATGTATTTTCAGCTAAACTAAAGGGCGTGGTCGCGAAATCGCTCGCTTCGCTCGTAGGGAAGTCTTTTTTGGTGTCTTGCCCCAGGGCTTGTGATAACTATGAAATGCGTAGCCATTTTCCATGTCAACAGGATAATTCCATGATATTCAGTAAAAGCGGGTCAAGATGCTTGAACGTCGATCTTTTTAAAAAAACGTATACACGATTTGATTGACGGATCAAAACATTTTTGTCATTCATTTTCAAAACATTTTAAGATTTAAAGATACTGTAAAGGGGTATTCATGAAATATGTCGGCAACCATCTTTATAAGAAATGTCTTTTTTTGCTCTGATGAAGCCACGTATGCGGGGGCGAAATATTATCCTTCGCTGATTTACGTGTATTTATTGTTGTTTATTCTCGGCGTATTGCGGTGTTTCTTATTTGCTACAACCATTTTTATAGTCGTCGGCACTTTAATTATTCTAAGATTGTCGGCACATCGTGGTTTGATTTCTAGCGCCACCCTGGTCTTGCTTCTTTTGATTTTTCTGTTTCATCAACCTGTTCTGTTATCCATTTGCTTAGACTTTCAAGATACGTCAACCACTGTCTTCCTCTACTTTTTTTATGAGAACAATTTTATAAGAACACGAGCCTCAAAACTGGTCAAAAGGTAAGAACAAATCAAAAACAAGCTGAGGCAGAGCTTCTGCATAATGCAATTTTGAACAACGTTTTTTCTCAAAATCGAGAATTTTTAGCGATGCGTGGGTGCTTTTACGGTGAATATTCAAATTTGTCAGCAGATTAAGGCTGTCTCACTCTCTTTGTTGGCAAATGAGGCCTGAACACCTCCTTAGAGCGAAAAAGCTAGCAATAGCACTGCTTACACCCTCTTAATTTAAGAACAAATTGCGAACAATCCAGCCTCAGATTTTCGAAAAAATTAAGAACAGTCAGCCTGAACTTAAATTTACTGGTTCTTATTAAAAAAGAGTGTACTTCTCTTCCCGTTTACACGTCAGCATAAGATCTTCTAGTCCTTTTTCCCCATCATAACATTTCCTAAGAACTCCATCTGCTTCTGCCTTATGGTTTTCATAATCTTCCGCTCCGTTCCAGCTCATCGTAAGACCTCCTCGTTGGTTACGTGATCTACCCATGATGTTTTCATCATTCTTCTGTAAAACCACAATTCTGCTGCTTGTTATTTGCTCTCCATTTGTGCCGAGATTGTCCAGCATTCACTACCATATAACAAGACGGAATGTATAAATTTCAGTATATTTACAAGAATAGCGTCGATCAAACAGTAGCATGTCTGGTCCCTCGATATCGTCTGATGTAATGAAGTCATCACTCGCATCCTTGTACACTGGCGGATTTAAGGGGGGGGGGCAACTAGGGGCAGTTGCCCCTACCTCGACATGTTGAAGCAAGTCTGGCGCCCCTTTTTTGGAAATTGTGCGCCCCTTTTGAAGAATGAGAATCAGGTGAAAAAGTTTCTGAGACCGATACGTTAATTTGCTTCAAGGATTACTTCAAAGTTATGTTGTTTATTCTGAAAATGGATCTGAAATTGTTGTATACAGCGTACTCTCGTAATCAACATTTGAAAATTTTTCAGCGTCCCCATTTGTGCCGAAATTGTCCAGCATTCACTACCGTATAACAAAACGGAATGTATAAAGTTCAAACTCAAACTCAAAATCTTTCATCACCAAAAAAAATGTTAATTGCAATATACCAAACATTCAAAATTAAAATACAAAAATTAGCAATTTCAAAAATTAGTTAATTAAATACAACAGATACATTAGTTTTGTTATGCTGAAGGAAACATGAAAATAACTCGTGAAGAGCTATCGAGTCATGTGCCCTAATGACGTATTTAAATACAAGATTTCCATTTCAGTTTGAAGTTATATAGAACAGTAAGAGTAAAATATAAAGAAAATGAAATGAATTATGAGTAAAGGGGATAAAGACGAAAAAGAAAAGGTATAGAAACAAAATATAAAGGATGTATATTTACAAGAACAGTGTCGATCAAACAGTAGCATGTCTGGTCCATTGATGTCGTCTGATGTAATGAAGTTATCACTCGCATCTTTGTATGGGATCACAATTTATATTGGTTTTGCCCAGGCACCGCGGAGCGTTGAGTAAAGCGAGGGGTCTAAAAAGTGCGCGGGCTAAAACCGAGGCTTCGCATGTTTTATCGCTTTGAAATTTACTATTTAATATTTAAAACCGATTTTCTTATTATTTTTTACCGTATTTGAGAGTAATTTTAGCTCAGTTAAGTTTCTCATTTTAAAATTCTGCTACATACAAACAATTTCAAAATAAATAAACAAAGTGTGAGCAAACTTGTTACATTGTAATTACCCCATTTTTGCTGACAAGGGTATGATTTTTAGAATATTGAGAACCCGTGTTTCCATTTTTCAAAAAAGGGTGTAGGAAACTCGCCCCCTAAATTCAGGGTTGCCATTTGGCCGTTTTGACGGCCAAATTCCTATATTCTGGCTGTTTTTTAAAGCTATTGGCCGTCTAAAATTGGTTTGGCCGAAAAAGCAAAAGTTGGCCGAATTCTGGCCGCATGTTGAAAGCCACAAAAATACAAAGAAAACGATAATTTTTGCACAGAAAATATTCAAAATTTTGTTAAAATAATCTTAAACATGCAAATGACAAAGCAAGAAACAAAGTAAAAGATAACAAAAATTTGAAATTGAAAGCAAGTTGGAGCTTTTGTAACAAACAAAGCCAATTTTGATTACACTATTATTCTAAAGACTTAGCCAAAATGTAGCTGTTTTGTATATTTTGTTTGGCTGGCCAAATTTGGCCGTCAGGCGTAAAATATTTGGCCGCCAAGCATTCCAAGCATCTGGCAACCCTGGCTAATTTATTTTTAAAAATCTTATCAGGGGGACATTGGATTCTCGTCGTCGTATTGTTTTGTTCCTGTATATCTTTCTAAATCAGCACCCCTATGACGCAGGAGCATCCTCTGCGCTGGCGCATCCTAGGATTGTATCGGCAGAAATACAAGAACTTTGGTTGCATCTGCGATTGAAAACGTGCTTTTGGAGTAAAAAAACCCCAAGATTCAAGTTTTTCGCCTAAAACGAAGCTGTTTGCATTGCCAGTTGATTCAGCAGTTTTCAAGGTCGACCTTTGGTGCTTTCTATCAGGGTAGGTACCTGATTTTTGCTTTATTTTCGCTTTTAAACTTCATTTCGTGATTGCGTGACCTCAAGTTGATGGCCTCACGTTAAAAATAACAACTTGAAATCAATGACGAAATTTTCATCTTTTGACCTCATAACGTTGATTTGTTAACTGCAACTTGCCTTGAAGTTAAAGTAACTTGAACGTGTGCAGAAAATAGACCATGTTTCGTTGTTTTTATCTTGGAATGTTGAAGCTTGGCATTGCAATCAGATTTTGAGTGCCGAGCCGGTATGCCGGTGTTGTTTCTCGACGATGCCGAATTGAGCAAAATACCTCTTTGTCGCTCTCATGTTCACGATCCTTTCAGTTGCAAAATTCAGATATTTATAGTAAAGAAAAGTTAGTTTAAGATTTGAAAACTTCTTGTTTTATGACTTATGTCATTTGGTATCGGCATTTTCTGGTATGTACATATTGCGTGCGTGACTCCAATGCTCTCCGTCGTGTTTTTTGTCGGCGGCAATCCGTCAAATTAAATTGATTTCGTTTCAGTGAACAGCTTTATTTCTTTCAAATTTAAACAGTTTAGTGCGGACAAAGATCAATTATTGCCAAAATCGCTAAACATTGTTGTTCTTTATAGCGCCATACCATTCCGAATTAATTCGGGAAAAGGTCCAAAATTACCCCCACTAATCACGGGGATAATGTTTTGATTGTTCAGGGCGGGGTTAATTAGGTTTAGGAGGCAATCGCCCCCTCCCCCGGCATATCTTTATTACCATTGCTATAACCGAGCCTCTAATTATTCTCTCCCCTAGACTTCGCCACCTAATAATACAAACATTGCTAAAAACTCAAGAATGAACCATCTCTGCCCCCAAAACCTTTGCCCCCAATTGATAATACCTGACATGTTTTTGGATTGAGGCTAATTAGGGGGGGGGGGGCTTATCAATGTTATCTGAAAGAAAACTGTTTTGATGCATTTTCAAAAGAATACATTGAAAAATCAAACATTTGGCAACTTTTTGACAACAAAAAATGTTATGAAAATTCATATTTAGATTTGGTATTCTATTTTCCATCAATCATGGATGTGATTTATTATGGAATATAGCAATTCGTCATTATGGCATATGACACTTCAAAGGAAAAGCTTAGTTTGAGTTCAGGACCAAGTTAAAGTTTTTACTTCCATGGTGGAGGCTTGTTACAGTGGGTTACATAAGGGGAGTCAATTCATAGATTTGGGCTACATGATCCATGATCCTCATCCTTTCCCCCTCCTTTTTAGGAAGTCTTCTTTAAGCCACCGGCAATGCTTAAGTGCCACCTAATATTTCCCCAAATGTATTTGAAACCATTGAAAAATCATATTTCAAAAGTACCAAGTTGGCTTTTGACATCTTTTGCACTAAAAACGTTTTGGCCATATCCCCTACTACAAAATATGATTTGTAGCCTTTGCTTACTACCACTGAAAAATAATTACTAGTGGAAACTAATTTTTTTGTTTAGTTGTTGAATGGAAATTTTGTGGACCTTTCCATTCAACATAAACAGAGGCTTCCATGCAAGTTTGCAAGTTGGGGGTGGGGGTGGGGGAGGCAAATTAAAGAGCCCACAACAAAATAATTATGAGAAGTGCTCTCTAAGGGCTCGCATCACAGGGGAGAAGGGATCATAGCCTCCCCACCTTTTTTACTAAAAAAGATTAAAATCAGCTCTAATTATTTAATTAAATAAACTTTTAGATACAACAAATAAATTGAACCAAAGTAAACAATTAAAACAGCATCTGCAAAATGTTTGCCACAATTGGGGCCAGAGGGGGGAAAAGAAACTTTCTTTACATTGGTGGCCCTTTCAGTTTAGGATCAGTTTCAGGAGAACTGTCTATTGTTTTGCAAAAAAGCTGCCAGAGACCCTGATGAACTAATTTAAAAAGACTTCATATTTTATGAATGAGAACAAGAGATAGCAATTTAAATTTTGCATTGTTCTATAATCAAAGTGGATGTGTTGTTATTGTCATATGGCCTTTTCCCAAGGGGTTTCAGGATCAACTTCACACATTAATAAGTAATAACCATCGGATGAAATCCCCCTATTTTTCTTTGCTTGCATTCACCTTGTTTCAAAAAGTGCTAAATGCCATCAAATGAAGTATATGAGTAAGCGTACCGCTAGTTAAAGAGAAAATTTTTAGTTTAAGAACCTGATGTTTTGTTCAACTTGTGATACCCCAGTGGATGGGAGTTTCTTGTGGTCGGTGGATGGGGGCTGGTTTCAGTTTGCTAAACAATTCAAACACATTCTTTGTTTTCTATAAATTTAGGCAAACATGTTTGATTCTTGTAATAGATGACTGCATGGGATCTGAATCAGGTTGGAAAGGGGGGAAGGGAGGGGGCAAGTGAATATTTGACACCCATAACAAAAGCTTTTGGAAAATCTCTATTGTCTTGCGAACAAGTGATGGGGACAGAGGCCCTGAACAGGGGCACACCAAATAGGGCTTTTGTTTTGTCTTTATGGAAATCCAAAAGAGGCACCTTTCAGTTGCAAATGAAAGGGGAAATTCCATCAGATAAGGGGCAAATAATTTGTTGCTTGTAAAAAGTTGGGGGCATGTGAACCCCCTACCATGCCAATAGGTGCACAGCAAAGAGAAAAGAGCAACAGCTCAATTTGAGAAAAAGGTTTGAAAACTCATTTGGCTGATGCCCAGCATGTAAATGCTGAGAAAGAAACCCATTTGCAACATGCAAGAATCACAATCTCACAACATCAAAATGCCCATCTTGAAAATCAGAAGGGTAGAGACAGACACCAAGGAGTGTCATTTTGTGGAAAAAAGAAGGATAGGGACAGCCCCTTGTTAGCTTTGCTGTTATGAAGACTAAAATTACCAGAAAAAGATATTTGGTTTGGTAATATGTCAGCTTTGTTTCAGGCACAGTGCAGCCGTTGGGCTCGCAAGGGCTATAGCCCCTCCACTTTTTGCAATTCCACTTTTTCCAATAATACGCTAGAAAACTTTGTGGAAAGTTTACTCTGGTCTAATAAATTTAATAAAGTTTACTAATAAATCTAACTATGGTCTAACATAACATTGGATAGTATACTCCTGAGTAGTAGCAGTTCTTCTTGACTGGGAACCCTTTTTGTCCATTTTCTAGGTGATTTTCTTGACTTTTTATTATCCCCAATCTAATTTTATCTATTTTTATATCTATTGATATCTTCTCTGAACCAGATTGTTTATAAAACCCCAGTAGAAATAAGCCAGTATTTTCTAAAAGGGGCGTTTTCCGGCGTTCCAGAAGGCGTGGCCTCAAAAAAATTACGGTCACGCCCTTTTCAGCCCTCCTACATTTAGACTGGTGCACAGTCACTGATTTGTGTCAGCAATTTTCGTTCATCTGAACAAGTAAATCTGAAATATATTTTCTGTTGCCATCAGGTTGGTAATATCATTTCCATGCTTTCAATCAAAGTTACTTTTTAATTCTAAAGTCAAAAAGTTTTAGTAAAAGAGTATTCTTATAAGGGGACTTTCAAGAATCAAGGTTTCCTCTTTGGGTAAGGGCTTTAGCCTCTATTCTTCTTTGGGGGCTTTCCCCTAAAAAAATTATGAACGTCCTGTGTTTCCAATATGGGCTCTGATGCAGGTTCAAAGTGGGATGGAGGGGGGGGGGCAAGAAAAAATATAACAATCATATCAAAAGATTTTGAAAAAGATGCCCCCTGCCCCCTCTTTGTTAGGGGCCCCGTCCAATGAGCATTTTCGTTTGTCCTTTTTCCCAATGATACCCATCAATCAATCTTTCGTCTTTCCTATAATATGTTAGATATAAGATAAGTTGAAGAAACAGTTTCTTCTGATATCTAATATCATCAATTTTCGCAAACTCTCGAGCCAGTAACATTGCTGAACTTTCCTGAGCAGAGTCACCAATAACAAGGGAGCTATGGTCATAGCCCCCCCCCCCACTTTTATAGTAAAAAATGAAGCTTTTTTACAAAATCTTTTGATATAGGTCTTAGAAATTCTTTGGTTGTAAACCTTTGCAAAATTTTCCCCCAGCTTCTTAATTCCCAAATGAATCAGAGCCATTGATGAGTTTGTTGGGGGGGGGGGTTGGAAGGGGCCTTACACTGAAACCTCTGCGTATTCAGTCGAATCGTGCCCTTCAAAGTGACTTTGCACATATTCAACTTATCCAGGGCACTCCTTGGCAATCGTAAATTAGTCCCACTTGTAAACGTCACATCAGGGGCGGATCTAAAGCAAATTTGAAGGAGGGGCAGTTGGTAATGGTGGCGCTAAAAAAATTTTCAAAAATTGGTGACAAGAGTACACTGTATACAACAATTTCAATTACCTTTTCGGAATAAACAACATAACTTTGAGGAACTCCTCACTGTGACTGATTTTCATTCTTCAAAATGCGCGCACAATTTCAAAAAAGGGGGCGAGACTTGCTTCGACTCGTCGAGGGAGGGGCAACTGCCCCTATTTGGCCCCCCCTTAAATCGGGGGCCCTCCATAGTGGTTGTGATTCACGCATTCACGAACAATTTTTTGATTTTTCTCGCATTCACGCACCGCAAAATTGGATTTTCACGCTCACGCAAACAATAGATGTAATTTCAGCTATTGCTCATCAGAGCCCTGTTAGAAGGACTACAACACTACTTTCAAACTTTTACTACTAAGTTGAAATTTAACTTTTTCGCTCGAAAGTCCGTGCTGCAACTTCGCGGACTATTGCGGACGGGATTTGAGGATAAAATTATTGCGCGGGGAACGCGTCTGGGCTGTGACTGCTAACTTGAAAATTCAATGTTCTCATGATCTTACCAAAAGAATCGAGTTTTTTATTATCGACTGACAGGAAACAGTACCGGCAGAGTTACTCAAGCGTCACTGTTGGTGCCGTTTGTTTTGAGTCAAAGCCAATTTTTGTATGCAGCATTGCTTCCCAGCTAGACAAAAATAAAGTACGAAAGAG